GGTAAGGCTACTTACTATATTAACTACTAAGCGTTTTAGAAGGGCGCTAGTAACCTAGGGGTATAGGATCCCCTGTTATATATAGGCCTATACTAATCTATAGGCTATTAGGCGTTTAAGGCCTTTTCTAAGGGTAAAAAGAAATAAGATTAGGCGCTATCCCTTAGTAGTGCTAGTGTCTTAGTTAGGCTTTAGGATTATAACTATCTTAGCTTTCTAGAATATTAGGGGGTAATACCCTAAGTAGATATAGCTAGAGTATAGAAGCTAGATAGATATAGAAATATAAGGCTAGGTAGCTCTTAGTATAGTAATAGTAATACTATTAGCGCTAGGTAATATATTACTAACTCTAAGTAGGGAGGCCTATACTTCTTCTAAGGGTATCTTAGCTTACTATTATAAGGTAGACTAAGGGGCTAAGGGTATATAGAAGCCCTTACCTATAGAGGGGACGTTACGCTTAAGTAGGGTAAAGTAAAAAAAAAAGGCTTTCTCTATAAGGTTAGTAAGTAGGGCCCTATTAGGGCCCTATAGGGAAAGTAAGGTAAATTAGGTAGAGGGCTTATCCTATCTTATTATATAGTAAAGGTCTTTATTTATCTTTATACTATATATCCTTTCTTACTATATATTAGCCTTAGCCTCCTAAACTAAGGTTAAAAAGAGGTAACAGGCAGACTTAGCTAAGTTAGAGGAGGGGTTATATTATTAGGTCTAGTAAAAGGTTTCTTTAGCCTACTAACATACTATATTCCACTAGGGGGTACCTTTTCCCCCTAGGTAGTATTAGACGCTAGTAGCTATAAAGGCTAACTATAGAACACTACAAATAGCCTCTATAAGGCAATCTAGGTCTTATTAAAAGTCTATAATATTAAAGATAACCTATATATTATCCTTAATAGCCTTAGTAAAGTTAGAGACCTTATTAGTAAAAAGGTATAAGTTTAGTCTAGGCTATATAAGGTCTAAGATCTAAGGTAAAAGTAAGAGGGTAATAATAGTCTTATAATTAGAGCTAGTATAGTACTAGTGTGCTACTTATATACTAGCTAGGGGGATATTTAAGACTATAAGGTTAAGGGTGTTACTAGTATTATATATTAGGATCCCTAGTATGTTTAGGACTATAAGGTCCTAGAGGGAGAACTAGTCTACTAGCCTTATAGCACCCCTATTTAGGGTAATACCTAGTTACTAGTCTTAGTATATAGCGTTAAAGTCCTCTGCTACTAGTAAGTATAAGAGGGAAGACTATTTCTTTAGGGCGTTAAAGGTTAATTTAAAGGTAATATCTCTATAGACATTAAGTATAGTTATATTATCTAAGGTAATACCTAGAAGGTCCTTATTAGGTAATAAGGTAATACCTTATAAGTATAAAGTAAGAAAGTCCTTTTAGGTGTAAGTAAGAACATAAGGCCTGTCTTTAGTGCTAGACTAGGCGTAGATAAGTAAGAATAAGGTGTAATTAGGGTATAACTTAGTAATATTAGTAGCCTTATTAAGAGAGCACTATAGCTTTTAAATTAAGATAACTTTAGCTTTAGTAGCTAAAGTAAAAGTAAGAGCAGTATTATATACTAGCCTAGTCTTTTAGACGTTAACTTAGAAGATCTATATATAATAGGTTATTAGTTACGTTAGTATAGGTTTCTAGTTTAAGTAATAGCATAGCAAAAAGCAGTAAGCATAAGGGATTCTTTTAGGTTATATATAGAGGTCCTTAGCACTAGGGTTAAAGTTATACCTCTTTCTAATAGTTATATATTAAGTATTATTAAGACGTCTTCTTTAGCCTAGAGGCCCCTAGTAAGCATGGCGCTAGGGGTAGCTATATAAAAGTTAGCTAGGGGTAGTAAGGTTTAGCGTAGTAGGTTACTATCTAGGGCTCCCTCTTAGGTCGCTAGTAGGCCCTCTAGGGCCCACTTAGCGGCCTAGAAAAAGGAGTAGCCCTAACAGTAGGTAAGTTATCTATTAGCTGCTATAAGCAATTAGTATACTTTATTCTTTAGCTAGAGCCTAATAGGACAAAACAAGAAGTTAGGGTAATATAGGCCTAGGCAGTTAGTATACTATATATAGGCCTAATAGGGGGTGTTAAGTAGGTAGCCTTAGGCCTAGTTTTTACTACACTACTAGTAGACTAGCTAGTGCTTATACTAGTAGGTGCTATACTAGTCTTAGTATATCTTATACTACTTTAGTAGTTTTTTTTTAAGCTACTAGGTAGTTATACTACTAAATATATAGAAGTAAGAGGTAGGTAGGGTGTAGTTAAAGGTAATAATCTAGGATTATAATTTACTATCTTTAGTAGTAAAGGAAAAGTAAGCCTAAATAGCTACTAACCCTACCTATATCTAAATCTTAAAGGAGATTAAAGACTTAAAGGGGATTATAGTGTTATTAAAGCTAAAGTAGATATTATATAGGATATAATAAATAATATAGGAATACTAACTAATAGATCCCTTAAGGTAAGTTATATTAAAGAGTTAAGAAAGCTTAGCGCTATAAGTAAGTATAGTTAATTATGTTCTTAAGGTGCTTAAGGTAATTATAAAGCTACTATTAACCTTAGTTACTTTTATAACGTCCTTAACTATAATTTAGTAAGCCTTTATAAGTCTGTTATAGATAATTATAAGATTAGTTACTTATAGAGGGTGGCCTATAGGAAATTAAATAAAGATATAAGTATCTTTTAAGTATATACCTCTAGACCTCTTTTATATAGGAGTTAGGCGTGTTAAAAAGACGCTATTAGGTAGCGTCTCTTAGTAGTTATAGCTAGAGGTTATAGCAGCATATAAAGGGCAGGGTGCTATAGAGGTATTTAGGCTAGTGTTAGTAGTAGTAGTATTAGTATTAACAGCAGGCTAGCTAGTAGTAATATTCTTAAGGAAGATAGTAAAGGCCTATAAGTAGTACTAGGCTATAGCTTAGTTAGCAGGCTCTGCCTCTAGTTAGGTTAGTGTAGACTAGATAACGCTAGTAAGGGTGGCTCTAACGTAGTAAAGACTCCTAATCTTACTAAGGAGATAAGTAGTAGAGTTTTTTTTATAGGTTAATGCTAAGGGGCAGAGGGTTAGGAGCTTAGGAGAAAAGAAAAGTGTAAGGCGCTTTTAGGGGGACTAGAGGGGTCAGACTGCGTTTAGCTTAAGGTTATAGGTTAAGGTTACGTTAGCGTTAGCGTTAACGTTAACGTATTATAGGTAAGGTTGCAGTAGTAAAGAGTTAAAGACGTCTGAAGTGATAGTAACAGACGCAAAAGCCCTAGCCGGCGGGCCTGAGGCTTCAGCCTCAGCCGCGGTGGCTGGGGCCATTGGGGGTGGCCGGAAAAGTGGCTGTTAGGTGTGGCAGTACAATTATGGTGGCACGCACTAACAGTGCGTGCCAAGGAAAGGTGTGCAGGAGGGAAGTTGAGCAACCAGGCAGCTACCATATGAGCCAGAACATAACCATCGGTGCACTTAACGTGGCGGATTTGACAGTGTGCCGCTGAAGTTGAACGAGTATACCATACCACACCGTACCCACCTTACCACACCAATACTGTTAGTGGAATGGCACAAGACCCAAACGTCGGTCCCATGAGCTTGACATCCCCACCATTTGACGTGTTGCACGAGCTCTATCTCGGTGCTGCTGTCGCTGTACGCATCAGGTCTGGCGGCTTGCCTGAGCTCTGTCGCGCGGAGTATCGCGCTAAACTGGTGAAAATATTGACCCAAGCCTTGATGCAACTGGTGGGGTGAAGCAACTATTATTACTCGGGTCCTGTTGAGAGACTGACCGTGGTGCGAAGCATGGGTTCAGCAGGTCGGCTTTTATGCTGTGGCGATAAAGCACGAATTGCCTGCCATAGGCGGGTTTTTATGCTGCTGAGCGCTTGGTGTGCCGTGCGCCACAAAATACCCCAAGCCAAACCCGCCGAGAATGCAAGCTTGCTCTCTCTCTCTCTCCCTTGTCCCCAGGGTGACTCGTCGAACGTTTGGCCGCGCTACGGACTCGGACCAAAACGTCCATGCCGCTCTGGCAGCGAGGCGCACCACGAGGTCAACCCCCAAATGCTATCGATACCAAGCCATTCGGACGCCCCCTACGCAGTCCATAACCAGGGGACCCCTTAACTCTCTGCTTTAACAATGACGGACTATTGGTTGAACGTTCCTGGCCGCCCCTCTTCGCGACCGCCCTGGATCCGGACTGTCGTGGGAGGAGATAGAAGAGGTACTCTCTTGCTCGGATAGGGGTATGGAGGCACTGAACGAGCCGCCAGGGTACATGGCTGCCTCGCCTCGTTGACTACGCTCGAAGCCCACACCGCAGTCGAGGGGGTACGCAATCCCTACAGGTGCTTTCGTATGTAAGTCATAATTATGTACTGCCTGCCTGCTGCTGCCGCCGTACCACACCGCAGTCTTTTTACTTACGCACTGCCTCGCCCATCCTTCATCCCCGGAGCGTTTCTCCTCCTCCTCCTCCTCCTCCTCCTCCTCCTCCTCGTCGACTCCAACTTCGGGTCGTTACCTTATTTCTGATTGTCGGTGTTAGGCCTGTTGACCAGAGAGGGTTGTTCAAGATGCCTGTACCAATCGCAGCCAAAGGTGAGTGATACATGCACTAATCATCCCTTGTCGCTGCCCTATCGCTTGTGTACTGCCCCCCCATCTCTCCAAACACCGCCCGACGATCTCCTGTAGTGCTCCTTCTTCCTGTGCCCACGCTACCCCGCGTTGACCTTGTTGCGAATCACGTTACTTGTCTGAGGTGGTCAGGCCTGTGGCGAATGGCCTCCGGGATCAAGCGATCCCGACTCGTTCAGCGCGTGGCCAATTTGGAGCTTGGGATCCTATTATTTCTTGGGTCGGCTTTTTTTTTTCGTTATTACACTGGACCTACCTGTTTTCTTCCCTTGACGCAAACCCGCTGTTATCTCCCAAGCCATCCGCGCCTATTACACCTATTACACCACACTTGCCCACCTGACGATGCCTCCCGTTAACAACGGTGCCCTGGCTTCAGCCGGCGTTATTGCTGTGTCTGTCGCCGTAGCAGCTGCTATTGCCATTTACGAGTCACCCGAACTTCGACGGTATGCCGACGACATACGGAGGCGTATCGCAGTTGCACTGCATTCCCTGGGCGAGGGTATCGAGCCCGGCGACCGTCCGCCCATGTTCAACCGCCCTGAGGATGCCCAGGGCTTCCTAGAGTCCCGTGGAGGAGTCGACGCCGGCGTGGACGCCGATGATGAAACCCGCCGCCGCCAGCGCGAGGAACTGATGTACTGGAATGCCGTGCACCTGGCCAAGAAGGAGAAGGAGATTGTCGAGGCCGAGGAGTCGGGTTCGCCGGAGCGGCCGCCACCCGGGCCTACACGGGGCAGGTCTTTCGACGACTTTATGCAGCAGGACTACAACGGCGAGAAGGGATCTTTTGTCTTCAATTCGGGCGCAAACGTCTATGACGACGAGGGCCTTGTTCGCCGCCGCCCCGAAGGTGTCCGGGGTCTGAACTCCTCCCTCTATGCCAACCCATTTGCCGACGAGCACCAAATCGACCAGGACGAGCTGCCGACGTTGGAAAATTCGACCCACGCTTCTCCTGGCCGTGACGCGGCCGCGTCAGACATCTACAGTGCTACCACCCGTGACACCGACGAATCCCCTCGAGACATCGCCACCGCCGCTGCCACCCCTGCTCATATGCCTCCACTGGTCGACCTCGCCGAGGCCCCTTCAGAGTCCGAGAAGTCTGCAACTCTCGATCGCGAGCTCGGCCCCGACGAGTACATGACTGCCGGCCAGGAAAACCGCGAGGAGGCCTACGCCTCCATCCAGGCCTGGGCTCAAGGGTCCTCCACCGCCTCCAACTTCTACTCCCCGCTGCCCATGTCGCCTCCCGTTCCCATGTCCGAGCCCGAGCTTGTCAGCGAAGGAGAGCTCACGCCCACCGACTCTGCCTCTCTCGTCGGCTCCGGCGAGGACGTTGCCGACGAGGCCGCCTCATCGAGGGCTGGCGACAACAGCCGCTACTACGACGTACTGAGCGAGAGCGAGGGCATGATGACCCCTGCGAGCTGGTCTGAGGTTGGCAGCGTCGTCAGTGAAACTGAGACCCAAAATGTGGCTCGAGCCGGTGCCCACGCATAGCCTGTTTTCTTTCGGTCCGGTGTGCTGCTCGATACATCACGGTTCAAAACCAGTCGACTTGCGGGAGCCTGGCGGCAGGCAAGGTATGGAAACGGCGTAAAAGGTTCAACAGTACTAGGAAACAATGTATTCATAGATTCTATCTTTTGCTTGGGCGGCTGGGTTCATTATTATAATCAATTTTTGCTTCCATATGTCTCTCATGCGTGATACGCATTGTCTTGGTGCATTTGCCCGATGACATGACTGTAGAACGCCTTTCAAGCTTACGGCAAACGGATGTGTCTCAGAGCAGCATGCGAGCACCCGCAAACCAATGACATATGTGACATGGTTTCGACCGCTCACACAGGAACAAGTTTTTCATCAGCAGCCCTGATCCTGTCCAGTCTGACATCGTCGTCGGATATATCATCCTTGTTGACGATAACCGCCTCGTCATCCTTCATCTTGTTACCGTAATCTTTCCAAAGCTGCTCAACAGGCCTGCCCAGCAGCTCTGTCCAGAACTCCTTTTCCTTGTACAAGTGGATGCGAAGCTTCTCGTTTATCCTCCTTACCGTGCCAGCGCCAAAGCGACTCTCGAGGTAGTCGAGAAAGTAGCCCGTGTGCTGGTACCCGCCGTCCCAGTTGCCACTCGCATCGCGCTTCCAGTGAGGCGGGCTCAGGTGTGCGTTGAGACGGACCCAGTCGGCAATGCCCTCGATTAGCCCACCGGGGCAGGTGCCATGGGCGTTGTACTGGAAGCAGTGGACCATCTCATGGGTGAGAACACCCATGATCTCGTCGGTGCGGCGCTCGGCGGCGATGCTGGCGATGTAAGACAAGGAGAAGTGGATCTCTTTGTGGTCATCATCAAGATCAGAGCCCGTAGTGTAGGCGACGCCGTCCATATGGCGGAGAATGAGGGTGACGGAACGGGTTGACGGAACGTGAGTGGTGTGGCACGAGGGAGACTCGTAGAGCAGGGTCAGGACGGAGCGGACGGCGGTGGCAAGGGCGTTGCCGGCATTCACGGCGGAGAGAAAGCGAACGGCGGCCGGGTCGTTGAGATCTCGAACCTCGAGGCGGAGCTTGGGAAGCTTGAAGTCTGGGGAAGGACGAGGATGGTCGGCAGCCGCAGCGGCGGGGGCGGCAGGGGTAGGGCTTTGCTGGACCGGAGACTTGGGACGAGGGGGCAGAAGGGTTGCCGCGGGGGGTCCCGGGGCCGGGGCCAAGCTCGAGGTCGGTGCCTCGGATGGGCTTGGTTCTGCGGTAGCGGCGGACATGGCTGGGAAAAAGAGAGAGATGGGACCTGGGTTTGGCGTCGTATCGGGTGGGAGGACCATCTGTTCGAGGCCTCGCTGGGGTTTTGAGGAGAATGATGATCGAGATCTGCCTTACGGATGCGGATTGAGTGTTCCTAGCATACCTAGGCACGAGGTAGTGTCGGTGTACCTATTTAGACCAGCACGTCGTTCGAGGATGAAAGCGTAAGAGGGGTAGCTAAAGAGAGAATCTATGTTCTCGGCCTACCTAGGCGAATCCTTGGTGGTACATAGGTGAAGGTGAAATGGTCCGCTTCTGGAAGTCTAAGTCGGTAGAATAGAGGAAGAATGACGAACGATTCTCTTCTCAGGAGGACCCTGTTCTAGTAACTTCCAACTGGAGCCCTTCCCCTAGAGGCTAGGTATTAGGTACTACTAGTACTAGGTAGGAGTCGGGACGGGGTGGGAACGTGCCTTCCCCGCGGCTACAGGGGTCAGGTCCCAGCCCCTGTCGCCAAAGGACCCACGCTCGCTCGCGATAAAGCGGATAAGGATCTAGCGCAGCTTCTCTTCGCGTTCAGTAGCACCACAGAAGTGGAGCCTCAACCAATGGAATCGAGTCGAGCTTGTGGGTGCACGGGGCAACCTGCGATGGGGATAGGTTGCCCCCTTTGTCTTTTGTTTACTGCGTAATTATTGGGACTCCCGGAGCCTCTGGACATCATTCGCATCACAACAACCCGCACGAGCTGCCATATCTGCGTAACCCGGCACCGAGTCTGCCGCCTTCTTTTTGCACTGGGATATTCTTCCGTGCTTTCAACATCCGAGCCGCCTTTCACAAAATCGTAAGCTGCCTTCTGCCCTACGAGTTTCAGCCCACCACACCCCTCTCTTCCACATTGCGCTAGACGACTCATGCCCTCGTTGTTTCTCCTCGCTGTCGCTCACCTCGCCGGAGTGGCTACGCAGTTGCGCAAACCATTCTGCTCGCCCGAGTCGAACTCCCTACGTGGGAACACCGGCAGAAACATCGACGCAGTACCGAGTAGCTGACCATCCTCTCTCATCGCACCAGGTCAAACCCAAAACAGAGCCCAACCCTCGTTCTGCGGGGAATGGCGGAAAAAATCACAGAGGACCAGGTCAACGACCTCTTGAAGATCCTCCGCACCGATGCCAGCGTCGACCATAAAGTCCAGCATGTCACCGGCATCAAGTCCGGCATCAAACAGCACAATGTCCCTGATACCCTCGTCCCACTGGTCTTCGACGGCCTCCGTACCGCGTCCGTCTCGCCGCACGCCGTCCTTGTCAACGCCGGTTTCACGGCCCTCAACCACCTGCTGACAAGGCTCTCGAGGCAGGAGCCCAAGTATATCGCCAAGGAGGCCAAACACACACTTCCCTTGGTCATTGACAAGCTGGGCGACCCCAAGGACAAGTTCAGAAGCCTTGCGTCCCAAGCATTGACGACCATGTATGCCGCCGCGCCCATGGACGTCGAGCGCTCAGTGCGGAACGTCGCCATGGTTGGCAAGAACCCAAGAGCCAAAGAAGCCGGCATGCACTGGCTGCTATACATGCATCAAGAACACGGTGTCCAGTTCCGCGCATATGTCCCGACTCTTATGGAGCTGCTCGAGGATGCTGATGGCATGGTGCGCGACGTCGCTAAGAGCACCGTCATCGAGCTGTTCAGGTACGACTAGTGGCCCTTGTTCCTCAACCCACGCTAATTTTTGCCATACAGACATGCCCCTAACACAGCCAAGTCCGACCTCAAGAGACAGCTGAAGAACTTCAATGTCCGCCCGGCGATCGAGCAAGCCATTGTCAAGGAGCTGGCGCCCAACACCGCCGAGCGGCCGAAGACGCCTGGATTGGAGGCCGCCGCCCCCATCGCCGCCCCCAAACCGAAGCTCGCCGCAAGTGTATCGTCTGTCTCGAGCGAACGACCCATCACACCAGCGCCGCCGCCCGAGGCTCCGAGTGAAGTGGACCCTGCTTACGTCAATACCCAACGTGAACTGGACGATATTTTTAGAGAAATGATGACGTACTTCGAGGGAAAGGAGACCGAGCAGAATTGGCTGAAGCGCGAGGAGAGCATGACCAGACTGCGGAGGCTCATTGCTGGTAACGTTCCGCAAGACTATCCGGACGCTTTCATGCTCGGCCTGAAGGGCTTACTGGACGGAATCATCAAAGCCATCACCTCTCTGCGAACAAGTCTTTCCAAAGAGGCCTGCAATTTGGTCCAGGACATTGCCATGACGTTTGGTCCCGGTATGGACCCTTTGGTGGAGCTTCTTATGCAGACTTTCATCAAGCTTGCTGCGGCAACCAAGAAAATTGCCTCCCAACAGGCAAATGCCACGGTCGACATCATCATTGGCAAGGTCACATACAACTCGCGCATCATGCAGCACATTTGGGGCGCGTGTCAGGACAAGAACGTTCAGCCCAGGACCTACGCCACGGGCTGGCTTAAGACGATTCTGAACAAAGAGGCCCATCACAAGAGCCACATCGAGCACGGCGGTGGTCTGGAACTGGTAGAGAAGTGCATCAAGAAGGGTCTCAATGACGCGAACCCCGGCGTCAGAGAGCGTATGCGCGCTACTTACTGGGTGTTTGCCAAGATCTGGCCAACAAGGGCGGAAGTGTAAGACGGGACATCTGTTTCAAAAGTAAACCTCTTGCTAACGAATTTGTAGGCTCCGAGATACTCTCGAACCAACAGCTCAAAAGCTTCTGGACAAAGACCCCAACAATCCCAACGCTCCCAAGAGAGAAGTGGATAGCGTCCGCGCAAGGCCCGGCCTTGGCCTGTCCAAGAGTACTATGGCCAGTAGCAAGCCAAGCTTGCGTGAAACCATGATGGCACAGAAGAAAGCCACGATGGCGGCATCCCGAAACCTGCCTCCTCGTCCCGGATCTGCGATGGCTAATCTCTCTCCGGTGCGACCACAACAACCAGCGCCAAGCTCGTCTTCAACCAGCTCGGCGCCCGCATCGAAGCCGACGGCATCCGGTGGCATGTCCGTCCGTCCTATGAGACCCACCAAGAAGCGCCCGGAAATGGCTGCAAGACCGGCGACAGCCGGTCCCTACTCCGTGCGGACGCACGATGGTCCTTCGACCGAAGCCCCGAGTCCCGAAAGCCTCAAGTCGAAGAGTGTGACACCAAAGTCGAAAACTGAGGCGTCTCCGCGAAGAGCGGCTAGCAGACCGCGTGCCGCGACATCTCACGCCAATGGCCTGCATGCTGCATCGCCTAGCGCGGCCAAGCCAGCGCTCTCCAAGTCGGTATCTTCGCCTCGTGCATCGCCCCGGTCTAGTCCCGCGAAGGCCAAGAGGTCACAAACCACGATACCTTCGAGCAGTCCAGCCAGGGACAACGAAGATCTCACATTGGTGGTGCCGAGTCTCGACAGTCTGAGGTCGCTCCCGGGAGATGTTCCCGCAAAAGCATCGCCGCCAGTCGTAATGCAAGCACCGGCGAATATATCTGTAGAGATCCCCTTGCCCGAGACGGAGCATGCAGCGGAGCCTACACCGGAGTCGATGCCGGAGCCTGCTGAGCAACCCCTTGCAGAACCCGAGGCCGAAGCACCGGTTTCAGAGCCACAGGAAACGTCTGTAGAGGAGCCTGAGGAGGCAACTGCGGATGTGGCTGTCGAGGCTTCGGCCGAGGAGGCACCAGCTCCCACGACTCCTGTCAAGGAGGAAGTGGCTGAGCCAGAACTCGCCCCTTCCGCCCCTTCCAACGGTCTTAAGGTGTTTGAGGACCCTTTCGTGGACGACAAGACGACCGCCAACGCAAACATCATCATTCCAGTGCTGGAGGATAAGGCCGTGAACGAGGTTTCCGCTCCAGCAACCAATGGCCACTTTGACGTAAACGGCAGCCTCCAGACCCCCGAGAAGGCCAGTCAGACTTCAAAACTTCTCGAGAGTGGCGTGACTAGAGTCAAGGCAAAGTCTCTAGATGTCCACGGCTTCAGGAAACTGCAAACCATAATCAAGGACAATAAGGCCGTTTTCTCGGATGAGAAATTTGAGGCCCTTCTCTGTGGGCTTTTTGAGTATCTTGAGGCCCCCCTGGAGAGCCTTGCACCGGAGAGGGTGCAGGATGTTAAGGCCCAGATCCTTGCGACGATTAAGCTTCTGCTCAAGAGGGAGCGAGATAACTTCCAGCCCCATGTCTCACGAGGCCTCGAGTCCCTTGTCGCAACACGCAGCGCCTACGATGCGCGTACCCGCATCGTTAGCGGTCTTGAGCTCCTTGCCGAAGAACTCGTGGCCCTTGGTGACCCGCATGAGATTGTCGTAGTCATGGTCAAGCTCCTGCAAAGCAAGCAGGATTCGTCGATCGAGGGCAGCCGCTGCCTTGCCACAGGCCTGCACGTGCTGAAGGAATTACTCGACAAGCGTACCGGTTTTACGCCTTCGGAGGGCGAGCTCGCGCAGCTGGGTGGACTTGCCGGCCGATGTATCGAGTCGACTGACTCTGGAGTGCGCATGGGTGCCGTCCAGCTCTGCGTGGCGTTGCACTCGCGTATTGGTGACGGGCCGTTCTGGGAGCTTATCAAGGGCGCCAAAGACGACCCCAAGAACCTCATCACGTACTACATTGCGAAGAAACAAAGGGAGAGCAACGCTGTTGCCACCTAAGTCGCACAGATGGATCAGGTCATCCGTACGATATGGGGACGGGTCTTGGACGCAGCAGGAGTTGGAATTCGGTGCCGGGGCGGTGGGTGAAAAGGATAATACCTCGAGGCCTCAAAAGCAAACGGAGTTTTGTCGTTATTGGCTGGGAAAGGAAGGGAGGGGGCGGGACTAAGCTGTATACGGGAAGGCAACGTACTTTTTTTGGTTTTGCGTACATTTCGAACGCCCTTCTTGTATTGCCCTTTGTAATGGCCCGGCATAGCTGCGCACTGTACCAACACCTATTCTATTCCAATGGATCGATCCACTTTGTCTCAGCTGTCGAAAAACTTGGTCCAGAGGTCTTGCGATGCTGTCTAAGGAAGTTCCGGAAGTGACCCACTGCGGTCCGGGGCCGGCTCCGAGGACTCAACGCCGGATCGGGGCCCAGCTTGGGTAGCCCCAGGATCCGCGACGGCTGACCGAAGCTCTGCTTCCTTGAGACAAGGCGAACTCTGCACATCCGGGCACGAGGGGTCACGTACCGCCAAGGTGTCAATCAACCCGACTGACGAGTTTGGTGGTACTCACGCTGTAGGGCGTGACAGGCTCACTTTCTAGACATGCTCAAGCAAGCAAGCAAGCACGTGCCCTACACATTTTGGTCTTACACCCTCTTTCATCAGACGCACAGCCGCAGCCGTCTAAGCCGGACTGGGCTGGACTGGCACTTGGGGCGACCTAGTCGGCGACCCGTGGTGGTGGGCTCAAGAGGCGGCCCCCTCACCCCCTTCCTATCTTAATCAGCAGACGCGTTGGCCTGTTTTATTCTTGGCAAGTCAGGAGAGGACCGGGCTTATGATTTGAAGTGCATGTAGCTTCGCGAGAATTGCGTGTCAGCTTGACAAAGGCCGTCATCAAGCCGGGACTGGTATGTTTGTGCTATCAGGGAAGCTCTTTCCAAGAGGTGAGTAGCTGACCAAGAGACCAAGAGACCGAGAGGGAGAGAGGGAGAAAGCATTGATGGGGATGCATGGATGTTGCCAGAGACAGGATGCGGGCTTCCCCGGATCGAATAGGGAATTTGGGTTACATGCCCGGGATGGGACCGGGATGTCCCAGTATAACACTCTTGACGTGTGTTCCGTCAGCAGCAAGAGAACCCAGGTGTAGTTTTACGTTTAGTCTTATAACAGCCAAGTACGTCAACTGTCTTTTGGGTTGAAGATATGAAATGCGGCGGCACCGGCAGTCGAATGCTCGGCTGCATGCAGGAGCACATCGCGGATCTCGGATGGACGGACAGGTGGCCGGAGGGGTGGGGCCATTGGTTGACTTGGGTCTCCAGTGGGTGGCTAGCCGCGTGAGAGATGTCGGCTCTGGGACCTGTATGACTTGTGAGCGGGCCGATTGCTTTAGATGCAAGAGAGGTTGACGAATGGTCGGGGGTCGGCCTCCGAGTGACTCTATAGGAGGGCTCGCGAAGTACTACGGATAGTTATTTCGCAAATAGATTGGAGCTAGCGCTTGCCAGGTTTCCTCAAAATCCCCATCCGATTGAAGGGCTAAGCGAGCTTCGCCTTGTGTTTACAGTTTGCCGACTTCATGCACGACTCTAGCAATGGTCAAGGCCCTCTAGGGAAGGCGGTTCGTGATTGACTGGCTAACTGACTGGGATCGACAGGCCGATTGCCCGGCATAGACAGCCGGGAGGCCAGGATGTGCCTTGGGGGACGTGCTCTGGAATGCTGCGGTGTCGCAAGGGACAGCACAGCAAGTCAGCAACACGTCTGACGAAGCCGAGGAGAACACGCGCAGTCTGCCGTGGCGTCGCGTTGGCGTCATCAACCACTAAGCAGCTGGAAAGGAAAGGAGGGAGGGAGGGAGGGAGGGAGGAGCGAGGGCGGGTACGGCGGATCCATATTGAAAGCTTGACATGGAAGAGATGCTTGTCATCGTAGATTAAAAGGTCGAAACGAATAGGCGTCCACGATCGAACGATTGGGTGGGCCGATGGTGATTGGCATTGGATGCTGCCTTGGGATTAAGTTGGGCCGAAAGGAGCCACTCGAAGGCGAACAGTTCAAATTACAACGTCGCAATCTGGTATCAGAGAGACGTCCAAAGTGTTGTGTTGGAACCGAATCACAGGCCCTCTAGCGAACGGACATGGGCTGAAGCAAGCGCATTAGTGGGCTGGTTCATGGTAGTTCTACCCTCTTGCCGGTTGACTATCCTGGCTCGGGGGTCTCTCGGGTCGCAGTATATGCGCACTACTACTCCGTAGTGTACTACGTATGTAAGCTGCACTCCGGCAGTCACATCAGCATGGAACCAAAAGGGGGTGTGGTGTATGGGCTAGAAGAAACCGGGATGCCATGCCTTGATGCGCGGCGAGCTCGGCGATGGGGTGAGAAAAAGTCGCTCAGATGATGTTGCACAAGATTTCTGTTATCGCCAAGCACATAAACAGGGGCGGGACCGGACTGCTGTTTTTGGCGTTTGCTCCAGGAGGGCTCAGTGTTTCACGAGAGGACGGCGATGGGTTTAGAGAAGTGATCAACGACGTCCCAAGGCCTCCGGTTTGAAGTGTATTGAATAGACATAGAATGGAGCCCGCATAGGGCGTGCCTGGTTGTTGTTTTTGAGTCTACAGACAAGCTGATAATGCCCCCCCCTTGACAACCCGAGAGTACCGTGCGCGCTAGCCCGTGCACAGTTGAGCTGACAGTGGAGTAGGTGATAAGGCTCTAACCAATAGATACGCGCACACACGTCACAAAGGTCTATATGTCTAAGAAAAACAAGAAATTTTGTTCTTCTTGCTCTATATAGTCTAGCAGTAAGTAATGCTCCTAATAATCTAAAGGCTATGGGTTTAATCCTAGCTTTTTCTAACTTTTTCTGACTTTTTCTTTAGGTAATTCTAAAACGGCTCTGCCGGGGAGGGTTGGAATGGTCTATCCCACCCTGCTTCCTCCGCTGCGCTCCGGGTCGGGATGGGCCAAGACTATCCCTTTTTTCCCTCTGTTTTTTCCCTCTGTTTTTTCCCTCTGTTTTTTCCCTCTGTTTTTTCCCTCTGTTTTTTCCCTCTGTTACCTCTATTACCCCTATTTTTTTGCCTCTATTTCCACTTTTTCCCTCTATCTATACCCTTATCTATTAGCTATAACTGTATCCATTGTCAGCTTAAGCCTGCACGGGCCAGCGCGCACGGTACTCTCGGGTTGTCAAGGGGGGGGCATTATCAGCTTGTCTGATCGCTCGTTGTTTTTGTAAGCCGTAGCAAGCGAAGGGAGTGCTTCCGATAATGGGCAATTCGGCCATGCAATCAATCTCTGTAGACTGTACGGGGTATCTATTATCAATACTTCTGTGCCGCTAGAACAAGGCGTAGGCGAAGAGCAGCAGCAAGGAAGCTCGTTGTACGAAGAGCGGTGTGCCTGTAAACCCCTTGCCGGAGCTGACGGCGTCAGTGCTGCTCTCTAGCCGGGTGTCCCAGGACAGCTGCTGTGGTACCGAAAGTGAGGGGTTGGGCAGCGTCCCAATAGCGACCAGTTCACGAACAAAGGGTAGGTTGCTGAGATGCAACTTGAGTGCATAAGCTCGGCGACAACTTGGCGTGACGAGATTTCGATTTTGAAACGAAGGCGGGGAAGCTGGCGAACCACGCTGTCGAGCTGTATCTAGGAGTGGCACATGCAACCAGGCGTTTGGGAACCACTGACAGCGTTAACAACCGATGGTTCTCAAGGCTGAACAGTGTCCGAAGATCAGGGTAGGATTTGGCTGATGTCGGTGGTTGCTATGCAGGTAGGGAGGGTACAGAGAACCGAGGCATTGGTAGCGAATCTTGGCCACCTAGGTAGACATATTCGATGCCAGATTTCTCTGAATCTCGAAAGTCAAAAGTTGCAACTTGCAGGCCGGGACAACCCTCACAATGCCCGACGACGTTCCGAGATTGGGGCACAGCCAGATATAGTGGTGAAGACGCCTCTTCATGAATATCACGGATAATCAACGGATCCACAGTCACTCGAAATGCTGCTCCCGCGTGCAACAAGCATACGTACCTGTGTCTGAGAATTGCGAATGACGCACGACGAACAACAGGACGCCAACTCCAGTCCAGCTGCGGTGCTGTACAGCTGTGCTCGCAAATGTCAGGTTAGAGAAGTTCAAGGGTAAGTAAGTAGTCGGGGCCTCGGAGGATCGACCGCATGGATAGTGACGAGTGGCTGCGGCCGAGGCGTTCATACAGAAACATGAGGGAAGGAATCCAGATGTGCGCTGTTGCGGTCTCGTAGCGGACGGAGACTGTCTGTCTAGTTGAAACAGTAGCCCCGAATACCCATTGGTGCTCGCACGTCTTGCTTTCTCATCTAGACGAGGTACGTACCACAGTAGATGCCTTGGCAGCCGAAACAAGAGTAGGGCATGCCTAGGTATCTACTCCGTAGTGTAAGTAGGTACCTATCTACCTACATAGCTAGATACCGAGCATAGTACGGTGCATATCCCTTTTGCATTACCCCTGGCTCCATCTCTCAATGTCGTCGTCGTCGTCGTCGTCGTCGTCATCGACGTAACTAACTGGTCATTGTTGTCGCCGTACGGAGTATAGTGCACATTACAATGCACTGCACGCACTGGATTGGTCCCTGCAGGCCTTCTGCTCCCTGTTCTGCTTCATCTTGGGGGCCCCTTAGATGGACCTATCGGGCGTTACATAATATCATCATCTTGGGGACCTCTTCACCTTCCACAAGGCGGCCTACAAATACTGGCAGGGACATCGCACCGACACAGAATAATAAACATCCGTAGGACGCTCGAATGACAACAACCGATATCATTCGTCCAATTAGCCAGTGTATGATGGGCGTTGTGATTTGATTGAGCGGTCACAGGCATTGTGTTCTCCGTCGGAAGGAGCCCAAGACGCTCTGGTCCTGGCAGTGCTAGCAATTGTCTCCGACATCCGGCATCTCGACTGGTTCGTGTCAAACCCAGAACCGCCTCAACAGATACCATACCGGTGTGATAGCCATGGCTCGCGCTCCGGCAACCAATGCGGTTTACATCCAACAGTCGTGTGTCAAATCAGTTTGTGTTTATGGCCAGGCACTAACGTATCAGCACATAGGCCCAGCAAGAGGAACGCCCAAGTCTTACAAATTACCGTACTCTCATGTCGATGCTGATGTTACACCAATTTCTTCACTAAGGGGCCTCTGGTCGGTCTCGTAAGCCTCGATCGTGCCTCAGCTGGACCTGCAGCGAACGGGATAAAAAGGAGACGTTCCGCTGGATGCCGCCGTCCAGGCACGGCTGCATAGGTCAAGGTTGCGAGCCTCGCCTCCCGCAGGCATTCCACAAAAAGCAAACCCCCAATCGCATCCCGTTCCAAACGCAGCGCCCCTTTCATTACCGTGCCACTGGCTTCGCCTGTCCGTCACTGAGCTGGCTGGGCACCGTTGTTGTTGTTGTGTAGGTAGTGCATTTGCGCCCGCTGATTGAGCACCATACACGGTGGATTGGCCGTGGCGATCTCTGCTGTATAGCCACATAGGCCCGATAGCCATCATCGAGGAGCCAAGGGAAAAGATGTGCATGCTGCTGCTGCTTTTGTGCTGCCGCAGAGCGTGCACCAATGGCGTCGTCGCCACGCTCCCAGATATCGCCGCTCTCTCTTGATCCTTATTAGATGGGCCTGTGAGTGTGCAAGTTCCTAGATGTACCGTTCAAAGTCCCTTGTTCATGGCACTCTGCCCCTACCCACCTCATCCCAACAGTCGGGAGATTCAAGACTGTTGGCAATACGAAATTGCAATTTCAGCGTGGATACGCGAAATCAGGCTTATAAAAGATACGGGCACTGTCGCAAGTGCACTCCTGCATCGGGCCCGGGTTGAGGATGAAGTCGACGACTATGCGAGTGCCAAGTGTACTAGGTTGGTGCGGTAGTCATGTTAGATGCCACAGGCAGTCCAGCCGAGATTGTCTAGCTTACCTTAGGTAGGTACCTAGGTAGCCCAGCGTACCTATCAAGCATAGCATGTTTGTCGCAGCATTGCCGTGCGATGCTTTCCCTCTTGCTGCAGGCTGACCAGCCAAGCAAGCACAGAGACAGGTCCCTGACAGGATTCCCCCGTGTCAATGGGCTCCCGCAGCCAGTGAGCAAACCGTGGTGCCTGGCGGGAAGCCAGAGCCACCCCTCCTTCCTCTCGATCCCTCCACTCTGCTGGGAATCGAAATAACCTCAGCGATTAGCAGAGAGGAGGGGGTTGCGTACCCTAGGGAATACCTAGGTAATGTACGAAGTACGGCTAACTACCTAGCCTACCAACTGCCTTAGGTAAGGTACGTATACTCCGTACATTACGGATACTTCAGTTGGAGGGGATCCACTGTTTGTGCCACGCCACAGACAGAGCGAACTCCCGAGTCTTTCTCCATCTCTGCTCTCGCGTTCCGTTCACAGCCAGGCTGTGCGTTGGCCGTATCCGTATCTAACGGGACGACGTGCCACTGTTAGATGTTGGAACAGAAAAGAACAATCACAACCTGGTCTTTCGGGCTGCCCTACGAAGGTACAGTGTACCGACACTCTGCGACTCCCCGCGTGTGGCCGCGTAAAGGTACGTACCCTAGGTGCTCCATCACGTAGGTAGCCTGCCCAGGTAGGTAGGTAGATAGGAACCAGTACGAAGTACTATGTACCAGTACCCTGCATGTCTGATGTCTCTAACACAAATCGATACCACGAACATTGTTTGGGGTTCCAGGACAGGACAACCCCGTCGTCGTCTCATCCTTTCACAACCCTAAAGTCAAAAGAAGTGTCTCGGCTGAGCTGTCGTGTTCTCGAATACTGGCCAAGGGGGAAGCCATCCAAGACGACTGAGGTCAGGCTGGTGTTTTGGCAAAGAACTCGTGGCCGTATTGTTAGTATACCATGCATGTGGCAACGTGGTTGTTGGTCATGGCTGGCAGAGTCTTTTGACTGTATACCTACCTAGGTACCTACCTACCACTTGGTCAGTGCCCGGTAAATAGGTAGGTAGTCGGTCCAGTCATCTATCTACCTAGGTAGGTAGTCACCGCAAGACAAAGGCGGCGTACGACATGGAATGCCTCCAGCTCCTCTCCTCTCCCCCACACGGCATCCACGCCGCACATCTGCCCATTATTCCGTCCGCGTCCCGTCCGTCCAGCCCCGTTCCAGTCTCAGTCCCTGTCCTAATCCCCCCAATTCCACCTCCAGTCTCGTCCAGAGTCTCCCCCCAAATTCCACTTCGACTTCAGCCAAGTACCACCGCTGCCACCACCACCATTACCATCATCTCTTTTTCTCCTTCTTTCCTACACTAATCTGGCCGTCTCTATTAAATCTATCCTGACGACCGCCTCTCTTGTCTCTTGTCGTACGCGCTGGCCGGACCTTGCCTTCCATACACCCTTCCTACTGACAAAAAAACGGTAAAAGGTACCTACCTACCTACTTACTACCTTGCTGTGTGCCCTTACAGCAGGGCCCGCGCGCCGCTGTCGTCCACTGGCACGACCCCTGTCATCATTAGACAGGCCCTCCCATCAAACCACTCTTGTACCTCTCCTTAGGTATCGGCCTGGACCGTCCGCTCCCTCCTGTTCCTACTCCCTACCCTCGCTGCTATTCGACGACAGTACTGCACGATCTAGCTTGCCATAGTCTCGCTCGCCCTCCGCGTCGCCGTCGCACCTCTTCATCGTTCCCGACTATTCGACCGTCCAGGTCTGATCAAAATCCTCAAACTCGACAAACCGGCGCCAGCTTTGCTCTTGCCTCGTCTGCGGGCTCAAGGCCTAGTCCACAGACCCTGCCGGCTCTACAACTCACTTAGCTAACCCTTACCCTGCTCGTCGACGCCTTTTTTTTTTCCTGCCCCCCATCGAGACCTGGAGCACAACCGTCGTGCCCACGTCCCTCGACGATTCGCCTCGAATCCTCCCAAACGAAGCCAACCGAGCGCTACCACGACAGCACTAGCCAAGCCGCTCGCTACTACGTTCAATTTTCCATCCCCCCTTTCATCTGTCCGACTAGCCGCTATCGCAGCCTCGAGCACACACGGACACCCCTCGAGCGCCACCCATTCGACCTTACGCTGCCCCGACGTACACGCCCATCCTGTCGACCATCTGGCACGAGACGCACAGCCTGTCGACCCTTGGCTCACATCGTCTTGCTCTCGACGTTACGTTCATGACAGACGCCCAAGTCGTCCTCGTCATCGCCATCCTGCTTGCTAGATAAGTGTCGTGACAGTGTCCTGCAATAGAGAAGGACGCCCTCGATATGGCTGCCGTCATGGAGGACTATTTGGAGAGCCCAATGGAACAGGACGACGTTTTCCCATGCAAAGGTTGCGGAGAGGTAAGGACGGTCCACCCCGTCAACTTCTCGACTATTCTCCAAGCACGTACTGACGGCGGTGCTCTATCCGACTAGATCCTCGAGGAGGGCAAAGCGTTCGAGCTTGGTATGTTTGCCCAATCTTCTCTCCTTTACCTCTCCCTCACCCGCATTTTCCCCAACCTCTCTCTGCTCTGTCCAGCATCTTGTAGCTTCATCGTGTCGTTATGCTATCTCCAATGGCCTTGCCTTCGGTACTCTCCAAGTTCAGTCAAACTAACCAGTCTCCTCCACCTTCAGCCGGGAACCGATGGCATCTCAACTGCTTCCGCTGCAACACCTGCGGCACCCTCCTGGATTCCGATGCGAACCTCCTTCTCCTCGGCGATGGCTCGCTCATCTGCAACAACTGCACCTACAGTTGCAGTGCCTGCAACAACAAGATCGAAGACCTTGCCATTCTCACCGGCGACCAGGCCTTTTGCGCAACATGTTTCCGCTGTCGCAACTGCAAGCGTAAGATTGAGAACCTGCGATACGCGCGGACATCACAAGGCATCTTCTGCATGAGCTGCCATGAATCGCTCATGGCAAGACGGAGGAAGAAATCGAAAGCGGCAGCGCAAGCCAAGTCAAAAGAGAAGGACACATCTCCCATGATCACGGACAAATCCTTACCCGCGCTGCCGCCCAACGCTGTCCCTCCCAATGCTTTCCACGATACCCGGGTTGATCCCGACTCAGACAAGGAGACACCCACTGAGCTGTCCCCCCGGCCGCGTCCGGCTTACGGTAGGAACGACTCGTCGTCAAAGAGTAGCGGTCGCCCATCCCGCTCGCCTGAGCGAACCTCGGAATCAACCAAGGACAGTAGTGGTTTGGGCCTGCCCTCGTCAAACTATCGTAACAACCGCAACTCTGGCATGTACGCCCCGAGCGGCAATAACAACGGCGATGTCAACAGCGGCGACGACGGCTTCTTTATTCCAGTTGCCCTGGATCATACGCCGGCCTCGAGCGCGACCCCACGATCCACTTCGGAGAACACACCGAGTGCGCCCAAGAAGCAAGACAAGGAGTACTTCACTCTGCCCCGGGCCAGCACGGACAAGAAGGGCGACTCCCAGTCGTCAACCCCCCACATTGCCTTCCAGGAGAAGGGCCGACAACCGTCGGCTGATTACGAGTCTGGAAACGTCAGGCTGCCCCTGCGCAAGACGTCGAAATCGTCAAGACATGACAACCGGTCGTCGGTCATGAGTGACGAAAGGACGCAAAAGGTGGCCGCCAGCAAGCCCTCGCCGTCAATTGACGAGTTCAAGCTGCAGGACGCGCCCAAGAGTAAGAAGCTCATCAGCCCGAGACGCGCCTCGCACTCGGCCGTCATGACCCCGGAAAGTGGCAGCGCCAGGAGTAGCGAAGGCGTTCTTCGCAGGGACAAGGAGCCTTTTCCGAGCTTGGCTTCGTCCGAATCACCTCCCCGCATGGGTGGTGGGACCACTAGATCGTCCCAGGATTCGAGACAGCGCGATGAGGGCGAGGTGCGCCCCTCGTTTGACTCCATCTCCTCCTCGCGAACAGACACGACGGCTGGCAAGTCCGTCACCCGCAAGGAGCTGCCATCTTCACGCAGTGGTAGGTCATTCCCGTGTCCGTGTTTTATCGTGATGCAAGACGCACCGACCCTAACCTTCTTTCCACAGCAAACGGCGGCAAGCCTGGCGGCTCTCTGCATCGATCCGCTACAAACGATGAGACAAGCTCGTCGGGCCTCTCCGCTGCGCGCCCGAGTATGACTGAGCACAAACTCAGCGATACTTATATGCAGCCTCGAGCGCCCCCTCAACCGCCTGGGGTGCCTGCGAACACCCCCAAACCTCCCGCAAAAGACGCAAAGGATCAGACGAACGTTAACGAAGAAGGCAAGGTCTCACCCAAGCTACCGAGATGGAGCGCCGGTGGCGATTTTAGTATGGACGAGGACATGGCCAGAATTCTCGGCACCGACGAAGGTTCATCGTCTATGATGCGCCGTGTGTCAAACGCTGTTCGTCACGGTCGCACCAACAGCACCGAAGGCAGCCATACTCAACATCCTCAGCATCCCCACAGAGTCGCTGGCCACGGGCGGAGTATCAGCGAAACCACTCGTGGCACCTCATCGCCTCGTTGGCCCAAGACGCCTCTCGTCGAGGACCCTAACGGGCATGAGCTCAGCAGTCCCGTCTCCATTCACTCGAGCGACGACCCGGCGGTCCTTAAGCGGCAGCTGCGTAGCTCGGAAAACCGTGTCGCTGAACTAGAGAGGCAATTCACCACCGAAAAGGACCTCAAACGACTGAACAAGACACTTATTGAAAAGCGCAAGACGGTCTCGGTACTGGACACCCAGACTGAGATTATGATTCGTCAGCTCGAGGTCTTGGCCGGATACGTCGAACGCGCAAAGGAGACAAAGACACCCGTCGATCCCCGCGACTTGGAAGAATCTGCAATCAAAGAATTCGTACAGAAACTTGACAAGGTCAAGCAGACGATGAGCGCAGCGATTGAGCAGCTCCATGCCGAACGTGACGAGCTACTCGATGAGAAGAACCAGGCCGTCGCCGACAGGGACCGCGCCCTCTTAGAATTTGAGCAGCTCTCGTCCAAGAACGCCCAGCTTGCCGACATGAACAACGACCTGACACACCAGATCCAGGAGCGGTTCAAGTCTCAGATCGGCGGCGAACTCAAGTCACCCAACGGATTGGGCATCTACAGTCAGAGCAAGGTGTTCTCGTCTTCTCAGCTGAACTTGACCGATTCTACCAGCATGGCCACGACTCTCATCCATGAGGCGGATGAGCCCGTGGTCGAGGCTAGGCCGACCGTAGTCGACATCAGGAAGGGTCAGGTCAAGAAGTTCAACTGGAAGAAGGGCTCAAAGGGCCTGGCACAGAACGTGGCCAAGGGCGTCAACCGTGCCGTTGTGGCTTTCCAGCAGGAGCGCGAGCGGGGCCCGCATCAGGGCTTGACCGGCGACAACATCGGCCTGCCGTACAATATGACAGTCTCCCAAGTGGAGGGCCCCATTACCCCAGCCCCTGTCGCCGCGCCGAAGGGCTCGCAACAAGCAGTTGACCGCCAGGGTTTCGGCTTCTTCAAAAAGGGCAGCAACCAGAAGACCATGTCCTCGACCAATGTATCGACGCCCGCCATCGCAGAAGCGGCCACTACCTTGTTTGGTTCCGACCTCACCGAGAGAGCCGACTACGAACGTCGCACCATTCCCAGCGTAGTCACGCGCTGCATTGAGGAAGTGGAGCTTCGCGGTATGGACATTGAGGGCATCTACCGCAAGACGGGCGGTAATTCGCAGGTGAAGATGATCCAAGAAGGTTTCGACAAGAGCGAGGATTACGACATTTCAGACCCTGGCCTTGACATCACTGCAGTGACGAGCGTGCTCAAGCAGTACTTCAGAAAGCTTCCGATGCCGCTACTGACATACGAGGTGTATGACAAGGTCTTGGAGTCAAACGGTACGTTCGCCCACACAAACTTGTATCTCTCGTCCTAACACTCCGCAGCTCTCACCGACCAGACCGAACGCTGCGACCACCTTCGGAAGGTGTTCAGCTCCATGCCCGAGTGCCACCGCGACTGCCTCGAGTTTCTCATGTTCCATCTCGCGCGGGTGGCCCAGCGAGAGCCTGAGAACTTGGTAAGCTATGCCGTGCTCATACCATGTCGTGCTGCCATAGCGCTAATGATACGTCAGATGTCGCCCAAGAACCTGGCGGTTGTGTTTGCTCCGACCATCATGCGCGATACCAGCCTGGAGCGAGAAATGACAGACATGCACGCCAAGAACCTGGCCGTCCAGTTCGTCATTGAGAACAGCCATACCATCTTTACTGACTGAGCACACCCCGCTTGGGTAGTTCAGTGTGATAACGGAAACCACACCTGTACATATCGACGCACCCACGACTTTACGCCTTCGGTCGCATTTTTCCCTCAATGGCTGATTCGGAAAAAGACTTATCCCACAGCCGATGGGCCATGACTTTATGCATTTGAAATCAAACGTATTCGAAGCCAGCCATGACCGCCAAAGAAGGGAGGGGAGGGAAGGGAGGTTTGATCCTTACCAGGAAACTTTAATGAGATATCCCAATTTCTTGCTTCGGGGTACGACAAGCTGTTTCTTGGTTCTCGAAGGCGGGTTTGGGAACCAGGACCGACGGGACAGGCCCACATTTGTTGCGGGCGCGCTTTTCGCCATCCTCACTCATTGGGATCCAAGTCCCGGGGACGATTTGATATGTGGCGAATTTTGTAGTTGAATAGTGGAAACGCAGAGGGCAGGGCCTGGGGAGGCGGGAGCGAACATGTATCGGACGACGAACGAGAATGAAGCTGGCGGCATGCATAGTAGGGTGCTTGCGCATCGAATCCTTGGGAGCGGTTGGAAGAGGGAAGAGAGCGGGTTTCCCAAGGTTTGGTGACGCTGCAAATATCTAGCAAGACGGTTCGGCCGTCGATTCTTTCTGAACAAAGTCTACCAAAACTTTTTTACAAACCCTCGCGTCCATATATGGCCATGTAGTTCATACATGTGGTATCAAACGATGTGCAAAAGGAGCCAGCCGATATCCCCGACATTTTGTCGTCACCAGCCAATCCACCTGCGAGCGTCCTCCGGCGCGCGCGCCTTCTTTACCCATTAAGCAAAGTACTGCCTCCCCTCCCCACCTTCACTTGGAGTCGCCCACGATGCGCTTCACCTTCTCGAGCAGCAGCGCGCTCTCCCTGCCGAGGCGGCGCTGGCCGTCCTGGCCGCCCTTTCGGGCCTTGGCCATGGCGCGGCGGTACCGCTCTCGGTCGGCCGTCTTACGTTCACGCTCCTCGTGGCGGCGCTGGATCTCGGCGCGGCGGGCCTCCGCCTCGGCGCGCTTCTGCTCGGCGTGGGCGAGCTGCTTCTCGTAGTAGCCCGGCTTCCGGGGGCGGCGAGGCTTACGGGGCTCGTAGCGGTCCGCGGCATCGGCGGCGTCTTCAGTGCCGTTCGAGGCGGCAGGTGCAGACGCGGTGCGCGTGCCGGGGAGTTCGGCGTTGGAGCCGGTGGCCGTCGCTGCGCCACGTTTGCGCTTCACGGCCACGGTGTTCGGGTTCGGGAGCTCGCCGTCGTTGGTAATCATCTCGGCGCGGGAGGGGTGGATTTCCCCCTCGAGCGGCTGCGCCGGTGTCGCTTCTGTCGGTGATGACAGACCCGACGTTGCTGGTGCCGGTGCCGCCGCCGCTGCTTCTGCTTCTGTTGATATTGCTGTTCTTGTAATTGCTGAGTCAGATGTCTCCTGAGTGGTCTGGGGTTCCTCGACGTCGTCGAGTTCGTCGTCACTTGAGGCACCCTTTGAGGCCTCCTTTGTGGACGGGCCAGCGGCGACGGCAGCAGCAGCAGCAGCAGCAGCAGCAGGCTGCCGGGCTTTGGATGAAGCCTGCGAGGCGAGCTCCCTCTCCTTGATCTTGGCGTAAGCCTTCTTGACCTTAGCCTTGTGAATGAGCTCCAGTTTTTTCTTTTCGACTATGGGATGTGCGTTAGCATACGTGAAGCGGCATAGAGGAGGCAGTGGCGCTCACCCTTTCTGCGCCATGGTCCCTCGGGGAGGTTATCGGGGCCAACGCGGAAACCCTTGCGCTTCTTTGCCTGCTGGGCATCCTTGGAAGACGCCGCTGCTGCGCCCTCGGCGGCGCGTTTGGGGGCCATGGTGAAAAGTGTCTGGGGAGGTTTCGTTTGAGATGGCGAGGATGAGACGGCGGGTGTTGAGGTTGGGCGATGAGAGCACTCAGAGGGCCAGCCACCTTGGAGAGTGAGCCGCTTGTCTACCAGATCACCGACTTCGTGATTGGATGTGAGCCGTACAAATTTTTCCTTGATGCAGGTGGCCGTTGTTGAGTTCACTATTTGAGTCGGATCTGATGGACGTGAGACGTCGTCAAGTGTACATGTAAATGGGCGAACAATCGAAGGAAGATGAAATTTTTGGTGGGTCTGGCCCGGATGTGGATGAGAGAGAGACGAAAACGGGTTGGCGCTGGTCCCGCTTTTTACCAGTTGGTGGACGGACGGACCGCGTCGCATGCTGTGGGCCACCCCGGCTTGCGGTTTTTGGACCTCACAGCTTCGTCAACCAACATCCTACAAACGTATTCTCAGGCTCGCAACTCAGATACACGTCTTCTTGACTGAGCGTTGCTGTTAATACTGCGCTCCTATTTTAACTCTTTCCCCTTCGTCCGAGGAACCTCCAGCTAGTGCCTATTCTCCTCATTTTGCTCCCAGCGCCCAATATCGTTTCGAGTCTATCCAGACGTGGCCCCCGTTATCTCAGAAACCACAGGTAAGAGAGAGCGTCTTGATGTCTGGTGGCACTGGAATATTCTTTATCTACTGTACGACGCGGACTGGATATCCTCATAATGTAGGCGACTCGCGAGTCGAGACACGCCAGAAACTGCCAAGTACGGGCCGTCTGTTCAGTTCAAGTCTTCTTATTCTCGACGACAAGAGCTTGCCCAGGGAAGCTCGAAAATGGAAGAAAGGACGCAAAAGCGGGTCTTTGACTATGGGTTGACCTGACCCCCTCTATCAGGTGAGGTCAAGATGACTTCTCACGGGTGCCTGCTCTGCCTGCGACCAACCAGAAGCCACAACAAGCCTTTGGTTCTTGTCATTTATCCCGCCGGGCCGTAGGAGCTTCCGTCAAAAGTTTAACAATGATACAGGACACCTCCGGGTGGTCTAGTTGATCAACGAGGGTGAGCCCGTATAAGAAGTTGCAAATACTACCAAACCCTCTGGGTTCTAGTTCCCTATCACCTTGTGATGCAACCGGCTCGAGTAGTGCGGGATGTTCTAGAGACTGGGCGTCGAAGAAATTCTTTTATTCCCCACCCTTTGCATTGAATTATTGAAGCGAAAACACCGCGATATCAACGGTGGTTTGTTATTGGAAGCGCTGTGATGTGACGATGGCCACTATTGGGATTGTGTGGAATGATACATGCCCTCGTGTTGCTTCTTGCCTTCTTGTAACTAAAAAGAGATGCAATGTCTAAATAATCCAGAAAAAAAGACGGGCAATGCGCTTCTCTCCTTCTTATAGACAGACCTACGTCGATGCCATGGACGTACCTCGCAACATCTATCGTGACAGCCCAAACCCCCTCACACACGTCGCGACGAAGACGCGATCCCGCTCTCTTGCCGGAGAACCCGGTCGGCCGGTCTCACAGCTTCTCCTTCAGCCTCACGAACAAACTCTCCGCCTTGGCCAGCACCCTCCCCTCTCGGTCCTCGATCCTCCCCCGTACCCACCACTTCCGCCCCTTGACCCTCACAACTTCGGCGACGCACAGAATCGTCTGCGGCGTCTCCACGGGCCGCACGTACGTCACGTTGAGGTAGGCCGTCATGTACGACCCGGACGGCATCAGCCCCTCGGTCTCGTTGATGGGGAAGATGTTGCCGATGGTCTCATCCAGCACCGTCGCGACGATGCCCCCGTGCAACACGTTGGCGAACCCGTTGACGCCGGCGCCGAGGGTGAGGAGCGCCTTGAGCTCGCGGATGACGTTGCTACCCTCGCCGTCCGCCGCGACGGCAGGTGCTGTTTCCATTGCCGACGACGACGGCCGCTTGTAAAACATGACAAACGCGGCAATTGTCTCCTCTGTGCGCAGCGTCGTCGAGATTAGCTGGTCCTCCGTGCTCGCCTTCTGGAACCGCGACGGCGCCGTGTTGCAGATGGTGCCGGGCTCGTCAAGGAGCGTCGCGCACCACGGGATGCCGAGGAAGTGTTGGACGTCTGGGTTGGCCGACGCCATGCTTCTTGTTTTCAGTTTCTCTTATTTCGTGTGGTATTATCTCTGCGTGCCGGCTGGATTCAATCCCTTTGGAGAGCGAGAATCCGATGGAGCTCGGTTAACGTGGCGTGGGAGAAATGAGCGACTTCGACATCGAGCGTTTCGATGGACCCGAATGCAATTGCATGAATCACAAATGCTGCAAGTGAGCGGACCAGGGGTCAATATCGCATCTGGTCCGTGCGTGATCCGCGGCATGTAACCATATTCATTAATTACCCCCACTGGTGGAATACTGGCAGGCCAGCGGGTTCATGTCAAATCTCGCCCGGGAATCCAGTATAAAATGGGGGAGGTGGTTGGACCAATGGTTTGATTTCTTGCTGGGATCTACGGTCGGCCTACCAGCACTCACCCGCCGGCCCTTGGTCGGGAGATGGTGATTGATGCCTCGTCGCGGTGCTGCTCCCTTTCGTGATCGCTACAGCATGTATCTAAACCCTTCACTTACTGGCTTCGCGCGGCCACCGGATCCAACTAGCCCTTCCTCCTCCTCGACATCACCCCCACCAGCCACAGCGGCATCCATCTTCCGATTCAGATAACCGAGGTAGAATCTCAAGAATAGCGTCAAGACGGCCACGGCGAGCATGGCGGACGCGCAGGCCAGCATGCCAGGGGCGTAAAACGGCGCATCTTTGTCTGGGTATAGCCTCGTCCCCACGAGTGGTCCGCATTGCCCAATGGTCTGCATCAGGGCGAAGCCGCCGCCTTGCCTGCTCTCGGATTCTTGGTTGTTGATGTTCCAAGCGACGGTGAGCGTCACGACATTGAAGAAGCCTACGGCGGCGGGATACACGGCGAGGTAACGCATCAGCGGTGACAGGCCCAGGGGCTTTGCGAATGCGAGCGCGGTATACCCGCCGGCCGACGCCAGGGCGTGCAGTACAATGGGAACCGACCGATTCTGCATCCGATCCGACCAGTGGGCGGTTGCAAGGACGACGAAGAAAGCTAGGAGGTAAGGCGGGGCGCTGAGCCCTTGCGACTCCAGAAGAGAGTGTCCCATTTCCATCACGATTTGAGGAAGAAAGACCGGTAATGAGGAATACGCCATATTGGTAAGGAAGAACATAGCTGCCGTCAGTAATGCCATGGGGTCGCACAAAACGGCAAGTACTTCGTGAACCTTGAGGCTACGGGAGCTTCTATCCCCGCGCTTCTCACCCGGGCTATCACATCGAAGACGGAGGCGAGCGACTTTCCGCTCGCGCGCGGTGAGATACCACGCCGTATCTGGACTGTCGGGAATGATGCGCCATGCAGCGACGGCCGCGAGGACGGAGGGGAAGCCCTCCACGAGGAAGAGCAGACGCCAAGGGGCAATGGGCCCATTTTCTGCGAACTTGGTAATCAGCCAAGCCAGCGACGATGCGAACGTTATCGCCAACGGTGCGGCTGTTTCATGTCAGCAGTGAATCCACGCGGTTTCAGACATTGACGCTGACCGGAAACAAAGATTGCGGTGCGGAATGCCAACTCTTCACTTTTGAAAAAGAAAGACAAGTAGAACGGTATACCCGTGAACCCAGCCTCTCCAATACCCAGAAGAACCCGCAGGAAGATGAGCATGGGGTACGAAACAGAGACGGACTGCAGTGAGGCGGTCAAGCCCCATGACAGCACGATCATGGAGGCGTAGATGTGGGCTGGGACGAGCTTCCACAGCAGCGACATCCACTCGAAGGAAATGTACGAGATGTAAAAGGCCGTCAGTGTCCACTCGTACCATCCATCCCACGGTGGTTTCGTCTGGAGGTCTTGCTCCATTCCAGAAATGCGTGCCGACCCCAAGTCTACGTCGACGCGTCAGTTCAATGCAAAGTACTATCTAGGGCTTTCATCATACTCGACCGATCCAGGAAACTGAGCATGAATAGCAGCGCTACAAAGACCACCAGCTTGCGATCATGTTTGCAGACAACGGACCTCTCCTCGTCGGGCGTGTACAGCTGAAAGCTCGCAACGGTGCTGGTGCTCGTCCGTCTCCGCAGCGAGGGCACGTCATCACCCCATCCTTCGTCATCCCTCTCTGATGGCCTCCTTAAGCTCTTCAGCTCGTAGGCCTGGCCATCGTCGTCGAGGTTGAGATCAAGATCACTATCGAGATTGAACTCAGCTGTGGTCTGCGCAAACGGCGGTGACGGCTCGCCCGCACGTGGAGAGCGGCCAGCTGCGTGGAACCTCGAAGATTGGGCCATAGTGGGCGGTAGAGGAGAACCATGCGTTACGTCGGGGTTGAGGGACGCACGAAGGTTCGGAGGAGGTATACCTGCGGGGATAGACTTGTTTAGACCGTGGGTTGAGTAACATGCAGACGACTAGCTCGTCGGCCTGTGTCGGTGCGACCAGACCAGGTGGCTGTTTCGCCACATTGAAATGGGCGTTGTCGTTGGAGCTAGCTTATGTTCCTGGCGTAAAGTAAAAGGTCTTAGAAGGGGGCGACCTTAGCCTATTAATATTATTACGAGATTCCTGGGATAAAACATCGGGATGGTTTAGCAGAGAACCTTTCAACCTTTGGCCAATGACGTACGTAGCAAGCTGACCCCTGCTTCGCTACGGACGGGAAGCTGGGGGGGGGGGGGGGGGGGGAGGAGGGGGATCTTTAGTAGTAGTGACACTGCGGGAGAGTTAGCGGGCTGGGGAAGAGAACCACAGAAAACAGGGGTCACTGATGAAGGTTCAAGAGTCAATTGGTAATTCAATTCAATTCTTGTGCGCCTTCGCTTTTGTGACCATGTGCTCTGCACTGCCGCATGGGCATGTGGCTGTAAAAAAATAAAATAAAAAGTGTATAAAAAGAAAATAAACCGCCCGAGAAAAGGGTTGAAAAGGTGCCGTATCCTCAAAAGGGAGACATTGCGGCAGAACTGGTACAGATACAGGCTGAGATGCGACGGTGCGCCTTGGCAACTGAGCCCAAGTTGTTTTCCCAATGATCATGGGTCATCGCTCTTCTTCCCAAAAAGTCTCCTAAACCCGCCGCTTTTAGGTGTCTTTGGCCTGAAATCCATCGAGGGTTTGGGCTGTAATGTCGGCATCTCCTTTTCTGTCCAATTGCCCATCATGTTGGGATGCCTGGGAAGGGTGCCGTAGGGCAAGCCCATTTCCTTGGGCGAGCTTGGCTGTGGCGGTTGTTGGGGTGCCATGGCTGTTGCAAATTGACTCGCCGGTACGCTCGGCATCGTCCCTGTTCTTGAGGGGCCCGCGTTTCGGTCGCTAGGCCTTGAAGTCGCGTTGTCCGCCTCCCGTGCCATGTCCTCTTGGGCCCTCGCCGCAGGCCTGTCTTCAGGAAAATCACGCACTTCGTCGCCGCAAACCACGATATACCACCGGATATCCTCCCCTCGCTGCAGCTGGTCTCTCAGCTTCTCGAACCACCCGGCCTTCTTCCCCGACGAGCCCTTCTTGGCCTTGTAAAACTCGTCGCTCGGAGCATTCGCCATCGCCTTTGTTTCGCTTAACCGCTCTTCGTAGCGTACGATCTCTTCTGTTATCGAATTGCTCAGGTCGATGCGCACAACATGGTCGGCGACGTATGCGTAGGGACGGCTGACATAGCTCAGGTCGGTCGGATCGTATTCCTCCAGCAGCTTCACGGCGCTCCAGTCGTTCTGCAGCACATCGTCCTCTTCGGGAGGGACGGTCGAGGGGGGCACATCGTACTCGTTACGCAGGGCAGCGGCCTTGGACGCCTTGGACTTGTTGCGCTTCTTTTTGTCACGCTGGACCTCGGTCTCGTCGGGAGCGGGCTCGGGGAGGAAATCGAAAAGGGAGTAGAAGGCTTCAAGGATGGCGGGAGACGAGTTTGGCGCGATAATCCATTCAGGCGCGGCGTCGTCTATGTTCTGGACGACTACAAATACACGAATGCTACGACGATCCCAACGAAAGCCGTGGCAAAGGTAGGTAGGCATTGTGGGTAGCTCTGATAGAGCTTGGAGAGATAAGCGGGGAGAGGTTGGGCGAGGCGGTGGATGCCGGAGGGGCGTAGGTAGATGGCCGGCCCAGCCCGAGAAGGGATATGGGATGGATGGCGAGTGTCGATCAGTGGAGAGCTCCAAGCCAGGGTTATCAAGGACGGTGGCACTGTGGACCGACAGTCGTTGTTGGTGTCGTCGTTCGGCTTCGTCGAGGGTTCGGAGATGTCGGAGAGCGGCTCGGATTGGATAGCGGCGAAAGCGAAGAGTGGAAGAGGGCTCAATGATGGCCGTCGTACGTCTGGTCAGGCCGAGAGGCGCGTTAGGCAGCCCAACCAAGACGGACTTAACGATAGGGTAGGAAAGTAAGTGTTGCGAGTGATGGGGAGGCTGGATGGAACAGAGGTTGCCGGCGAGCGATGAGGAGAGAGTGAGGTTCGGTGCAGTGCCTTATTCAAGCTGTGGTCGAGGAAACATGGCTTGCCGCATCGCACGCTGGGCTGCCGCGCACCGGCTAAGATGCGAGGAAATAATGGTCGGATCAACCGATGACCAGATCGAATTCTAAGTGGTCGGAAAGGGGGAAGAGGGTGCGTCGAGTCTGGTATTGGCAGAAAAAAAGCAAGGAGAAAGGGCGAAGCGTAGCCAGGCGAAGACGGAGAAGAAATGCAATGGAATGTCGGGAGAGAGGAAGATTGCCAATGAGAAAACGGAACAAAGGTAACTACCCGTCCACATATGAACGAGATGGAACGGCGAGAATAGATGGATTGGGAGGACAACGTCCCCAAGTTTCTGTTTCTGGCAGACGCCACGCTACCACTCTCGAAAGGAAGAGCGGGAAGAGAGAAAGAGAGCTTCTGGGGATTGCTGCGCTGACGGGTAGATTTGACACGACACTTTGACCATTCGCGCCCACTGTCGTTAGCTGGGTTTCGCTGTCCGTGCTCGGATGTGGCTCGGCCCAAACGGGGACCAACCGGCTGGCCCGTTTCTGGACGCTACGACAAACCTGCTGCTAGCACTGTGGGTTGTATCAGATGTCACTTCACAGGAATGAATGTCTTGATCACTGGCTATGCTTCCAGTTGCGGGCAGGCAAACAAACATTGGGCTTTGGTTACCTTACCTAGTTAGGTAAGCAGACAAGCACCGCACGCCCCACCTGGTATGCTACCTACTTGCCTACTACCCATCTTACCTTACCCTGCCATACATACTTGTCCTGTCGTGACGGAATACCTGTCTGTGTTGGACCTGCTTTGGTGGCAAGTGCCCGGCGACCGTGACCCAATGACCCGCAGGTACAAGGAACACGGCGATGACAATTGGGACGATAGCCTCAGTGCGTTATCCAAAGAGAAAGCGACGGGGTTCTAAACGAAAGTAGGCAAACCAAGCGACACTCCTACCGACACACATACCTACACACACGCTTAACTTTTCAACCAAGCTTGCAAGTGCCTTCGTCGAGCTCACTATTTACCTCTGCTTCCGTCGTATCCAAAGTCAACCATTGTCTTTGAACCCAAACCCCATCTTGCGGGGCCAATCGCCTATTACGATATGCTTTGAGAGGTGCGAATGGAGACACTTTGTACGAGTGTTCAGCGCAACTCTGTTGTCACGCAGGTCTCAAGTCGTCTTGAAACTGGTCGACAGCAATCAAAAATCTCAATCCTTGCCCTCGACGACTTCCCATCGGCATGGCCAAGATGCCCACCGCTGGCCCCCCAAGTCTTTCTACCGAACAGGCGGGGTTGCTCGTATTGGAGCGACGTACCCACGGCTCAAGCCAACCGAGAGGTTGTCTGATGATTGCACCGGGCCGAAGCTCACATGTGTGAGGGGGCGCTGGTGGCTCATCATCTCGCACACGCAGTTGTTTGCTGGAAAGACGAGCTAATCGGACAGCCTTGAAGAAACAGCAGCATGGTGCTGATCAGCGTCTGAGACGGACGGAAAACACTTCTCTATGTGTCCCGAACATCTATCTCCGCCGCACCCCTTCTACAGCAAGACACCATGCACAGCCGCCGATGACAACGAGGCAGCCAGCCCTGCCGCCACGGCCCCGGATACCAACGAAAAGTCTCCTAACGTCCGGCTAGACCCACTCGCCGGAGCCGACGTCGACGGCACCGCAGCCGTTCCCGCCTCCGTCCCGATGTCTGCTTCTGTCCCCAACTTGGTTCCCGTTGCCTTCGTCACGCCTCCTCCTGTCTCTACCGGAAACGACGCGCTTCCCGTTGCCCCAGTCGCAGGTTTCCCAGATACCGACCCGGTATATGGTGCCGGACTTGTGAAGGCCGCACAAGTCGCCGTAGCTCGCCACTCGGACCAATACGAAAGGAGCGCGGACGGATTGTACTCGCCCTGTGTGATGATGGGGTGAACGGCCTGCACTTTCTCCAGTCCTGCCGTCATGGCCACAACTACCGAGTGCGCCGACACGAAGCAAGTGTCAATCGGCATGGCAGGATCCACCGATGTCGACCCTGCCGCGTCGACGGTTGTTACGAAGCACTGACCGTACTGATTGGGGATGACGTCGTCGCTTCCGCTCCCGAGACGGCATCTCCGTGGCCGTGTTGGTCCCGATCCAGCTGGAGCCCTCGATGTGGGTGACGGTCGCTGGCCAGTAGCCCTCCTTCTTGCAGGCCGCATCCGCCGTCGGGCAGGCCACGTGGTAGGTTTCGTTTCTTCTGTTGTACGCGATGATGGAGGCCTCGAGGCTGCCCGTTGGGTGGGTGTCGAATATGAAGAAGGTGCGGGCGGAAGCGGTGATGAGAGGCGCCTCGGCACCGGTCGACGCCTGCGCGTTGACGAGGGGCACCAAAGCCGAGACGCCGCAGAAGAATGAAGCTGCCCTCATAATTGATTCAATGATTGCCTGCCGTCTGTTTCCAAGTGCAACTGCCAGGTGTAACTATTCCGAGATGCATCGGTTCGAGTGGACCAGTCGCTGCTTAGAAACAAGCGCCAAGCTAATAGGACCGAAATGTTGCATCTTTTGGTAGAGGTGCTTGGCGTTTTTCTGGGCACCCCTTCGCGGAGAGTCTTGCAGTTGGTTCCAACAATGGTCCGGAGATGCTCCGCTCAAAGAAGCTTACTGGAGTTGTGCTCACGAGTCCAGGCTTGCACCGGACGACGCGTTTCGGCGATCCTACCGTGCGTGCCCTTCATGCACGGCAATGCCGAGGCCGGCGGTGTGTATGCCCTGCACGACGAGCGACGTTATCGTCTTCAGAGACGGGATAAGCAGCACATTCGCATCGTGGGATATGCTTGACTGAAAGACTGTTTTGTTTCGTCTCAGAAGGGTATTTATGGTCGAGCGCCCACATCGTCCTCTCAACACAGGTGTGCTGGATTCTCGGCCAGGATGGTTAGGTGACTCCTAGTAGTAGGTAGGTCCAACCAGACTTTTCGTCCGGAAGACCAATCGGTGTTGTTGGACATAGCCGCAACCACGCCGCAATAAACCTGGCAAACGCAGGGAGTATTGTCCTTCCTCTGGTTAAGTCACGACTCGAGTGGAAAGAAGGCGAGGGCGAGCTCATCTTAATAAACGAAGAAGGACACGCCATGGCGGCAGCGCGCGGACCACACGTCTTCTTGGCGCCCTGCTCGATACGATGTCCTGGGAAATCGGATCGTTATCCAACAACGGGGCCAGTCCCCAATCAGACCATGGGGCCATTTGAACTGTCGGATTATTGCAGCTGTGGGCCAAGGGTCTCGGGAGTTGGACGCTTATTGGGCCAGCGCCTTGTACAGCTGAAAGAAGCTTAGTTCGCCAGCCGGGGGGGGAGATCCCACAGGTGTCTACTTGCCATATAAAGCTTAGATCAAGACAAGGGTAGTGTGGTCGGTGGGGAGAAAAGCACACTCACGGTGAGATGAAGATGAACTAGGTACTATTCATATCCACCGTCTCCATAACGAAAAACCATCGAGATGCCCCGGAATCGTCAAAAGTAGTGACAGTCCGACGAAGAATGGGCAGACGGATTGGTAGGTAGTAGGGCCTAATGAGGCTCCCGAACCCTTTGATGTGTGGCGTGTTTCTGACTAGGTACTACGGAGTACATAGTGCGTGTGTAACGATTGGTGAGGCAGCGCCTTTGGCTCGCGGGAAAGGCTCGCCGTTTCAGCCGTCGACGAACGGAGAGCGCCACGGCGGCGGCAGAGATACGCCTTGTTCTGCCTCCCGCACCTACCTAATTTTAAGATTGGTCTCGAGTTTTAGCTGATATTTGAATGCTCCATAGCCTGCCTTTAAGTCAACAACCGACCTTGTACATCAGAGCCCCATATCCCAAGAGAAGCTGCTGCTGGGTCCAAGGGAGAGATCCGTTAACATACCCCAAGAGAAGCCGTTCCTCGGACTGTGGGCATCCGCGCCAGCGTTGCAATAGCAATAAGCACGCAACTCCTCCAGCCCCACAAACCCATCATCAGCTCAGCTCGGGACCACGGGTGGTCCCTGTCCGGGTCCACGCCCTTGGTAAGCACTAATAGTAGCCACAGTGAAAAATGTAGCGATGCCAACAATCTCTCCTTACCCATCAGCATGCTGGACAGGAGTGGTGTTCAATACTACTGTTTGGTTCAATTACGGTGCGCGACTGGACCAATCCTTCCCTTTCCTTTCCCCATCGCAGAAAATAACAACAATAATCATAATCCCCCGTTCCCTTTGTATCCATGGATGTCGAGTGCCGGCGTCGAGAGGGGCCGAGGGCTAACACTACCGTCCGCAGCAAGATGCGTCCAAGCCTGCGTCGCCGATTCCCTCGTTTGCTCGCTCGTGTGCATATGGCAACACACACTTTCGTACCTGTATTTCTTGAGAGATTAAGCTGATACACAGAGCAGGGGATACGTTGGGGAGGACCAGGAAGGGGGGGGGGTGACTGCGCCTAGAACACTCTTTGGCGTCAAGCTTTTGTGGCTGGCCTTGGACGCTCCAACATAGTATCCTCTTGGGCTGAGCCGCTAACGAAGTGCTTTACACGTTGTTGGCTGTCCCGAAACCTCGCGAACCAAGGTAGTTTGCCTGGCGGGTGAAGGCATGACTGGCTGTCGTTAATCGTACCGCCAATGGCAGACGGCAGACTCAGCCCGTCAGCTCAGCCATCTTTGCTTATTCCCGACCCGTCCAACCAACCAGGGTACTGATCCAGCAAAAAAAGCCTACGATGCGATGCTCATGTCGCCCCTGTTCCTAGGCTCCCACTTAACCGCCCCTGTCGTGCCGTCCTCCCCCTTGTGTACGGATACATAGTATGTGTGTGTAGTAAGAGGGATCCCGTCCACGCCCTCTTGCTAGCGTAGCGGGCTAGCTAAGCTTTGCTCCCTCGCTCTTCATCTCGCTCGTCTGCGCCAGAGGTGCGAGAGTTGACCGTCAACGAAAATAAATGATGGGTAATAATACACCAGGGGTCCACCGGAGGTCAGATTTTACTATACGCTAGACCCATTACTTTCTCTCCTCCTCATAGTGGCTGCTCACTCGTTGATTTACTTCTTTCTCTCTCCCACTCTCTCTCCCGCGCGCGTGCTGTTGGTCAAGCTTGTGCTTTGTGTGACCTGCAACCCGTCTCCCTTCCGCCCCTTCCTTACCGACCTTCCTGCACTCTCCGCTCTGATAGCCTTATGAGTACTGTCAAGTATTTAAAAATGGCGACTAGGGTATGTTCCCCGCTCGGCACTTCTCTCTTGGCCCTCTTCTCCCGGCTTTCCTGTCTCCCAAGCGTACTTCGCCAACACCACCACCCGCATCTCCGTGATCCACCCTGCTAAACATCATGGCTTCGCAGTACGACGAAGGCCCGGAGTTGGCACCTCAGAACCAGTTCCCTGAGGTCTACAACCCTCTGCCGCAACACTCTCAAACCGGGACTCCGCATCCCGCCCCCGTCACGCCCTTGACGCATGAAGACTCTACGTACGGAAAGTACTCGGTCTCGGCCGTCGATCAGTCTGCCTACGGCGGCGCTCAGTACCAGCCCGACGGCTCGCAGAAGAAGAGAAAGACCATCTGCGGCTGCACCTTCCTTGTCTTTCTCCTGTCCGTCGTCATCGCCGTCTTGGCGGCGGCTGTCATCGGGTTGGCGGCGGGCACCGGCGTCGAGGCGAGCCGCGCAAACGAGGCGCTCGAACAGCTGGCCAGTCTGCAGGCGTCGGTTACCGCGGGAGGGTCCGCCACAGCAACGGTGACGGCGACGGGCGCGTCTGCGACGGCGACAGGCTTCGCATCAATCACCAACAACTGCTCCGACGCCGATGAGACGACCACTAACCAGACGTACACCACGGACTGTAAGCCCCCTTTCCTGCCCCTTGTGGCTGAGGACGCACACGAGTAGGAGGGAGCCCCGACTGACGTGATGAACCCCAAGTCTACGGAAAGAAGACGTTTGTGCAATACTGCAACTCAAACGCCCCCAACCCGCCCCTCATGAGCCTCTTCACGGCCAACTTTGACAACTGTATGGACGCCTGCGCCGCGTTCACGTCCTACGAGCCCGGCTTCAACGGCAACGCCACTTGCCAGGCCGTCAGTTTCATCCCGCTCTGGACGACGCGGGAGGGCGCCGTCAAGGGCAAGGCGCCCGGCAACTGCTACCTCAAGCCAGGGCCTCAGACGCGGGATAAGCTAGAGACGCCGAACATCGGCACCGAGTGCCACGCCGCCATCATGAACAACTGATGGCGGCGACGGCGACGGCGATGCAAGGGGACAGGGTACGGAATGGGTTGGACGGAAACGGCGCCGGGGTCTCCTTTCTAAATCAGTGTTTGTGCATCATCTATACCACTTGTGTCAGTTGAGATTTTCGTGTGCTATCGGGGTTTGCGTCAGGGTCGGCGTCAAAAGGAAGGAAAGCAAAGTGGCGGAAAAAAAGAAAAAGAAAAAAAAAAGACATGCCCCGAGGACCCTAGGAAGGTTCATGCTAAGAATACTGGCCAACACTGTTGGTGCTATGTCTTAAGGAACAGGATATGTATGCAAGATACCTAACGAGACCCATCTGTGTGAAACCGCTCCTCTGTCGATAGCATGCAAGCGCGACTTGGCATGCATTTACCAGCCCCTTTCCAGCTCGCAGTTGGCGACACGTCCTGGTCTCTTAGCAGTTACGAGAACTTCCCGAGGTCCAGTCGCAGTGCAGGACAAAGTCCCGGATACGCGACGAACGAGAGGGCCGGGACGAAACGTCGGAAGCCAGCACAAGTTCGGAAATACTGTATTCCATAGGTGATCCGGGTCGGCGTCAGGCAGGAGGAAGGCATGCCGTTTCCTCTTTCTTCGTCTTGTCCGCGCCTCCTACGCATCGGGGGTTCCGATTTGGGTAGGAAAGGCACAGGCTCGGAATAACCACTTACATAAGTGCTGACTTCTAGCCCGCCCGACTTTTGATCACGCAGGTCAGCCGCCCTTGGCTCCGTCCAGTCAAGCTTGCCGACGTCAAGAACCACGCGTCGACACTACATTCTGGACCCTATTCGGCATCGGCATCGGCATCGGCCCCCCTTCCAAGGAAAAAAAAGAGGTGCAGTGATCACCACCAGAGCCGACAGGATGCAGGTCCGAGCTCGCTCGGCCTCGACGGCTTAGTCCACCTCCAGGGTCCAGCGATGCGACACGGCTGGGGTGAACCGTCAGGTCAGAGGCTTCTGGAGCGACGGTGGAGTCTCGAGGGAAGGAGTGTACGAGCCAGCACGGGCCGATACTCGATTGGGCGGCGGTCATCATTGGAGATGTGGCTGTTCCCCCTGATGCCAAGCCCACAAATTTGTACGAGGTTCCGTGGCTTACAGGCCGACAGATGCACGTGTTGAGCAGTAAAGCTCACACACCCTAGGTTGGCCATAGTGTATGTACATAGGTAGTGTATTGGTGTGGACGGCCTCACCGCAAGACGGGCATGTCTAAATGGCTATTGGTAAAGCGGAAGAATTCCACAGCCAACGCCAAGCAAAAACCTTCCCCTCGCAGAAGGCCGATTAGCTAGGTAGTCGACTTCATCCTCTGCAGTATGGAACCAGCCCGAGACTTCTAGAAAAGCAGCACCCTGGATATCGGCCGGTTATGCCACATTACCTACCTACTTACTGCACTAGCACCAAAGTCTCCAGGCGCCTCCTCGTACCTTAGATATCGATTCTGTCCCGCGAAGCACATGGAGAACCATCAAAAAGTCGTTTCCGCATGTCTTGACGCATTCCCGCTCTATAGAACCTTGGGTTCTCGGAAGTCACCTTAATTTAAGCTCAGTTCAAGCGACGGATCAAACGGTGCCCAGCCGACTGACACACAACTATCGCAGCTACACCAGGCAGGACCGTGCTTACACTCCACAGCCCTTCCGCAAACGGAACCGAGCCTCCCATTCGCCGATGTAACTGTGGGGGGGTTGTCCCCGTCCAAAGGGTGCAGACTTGTCAAGACGTGCGCCCTTCGCTCGACAAGTTGATGCACAAGACCCATCCTAATCCCGGTCGGGTGAGCCAGCCATTGATGACTCCGACTTGCACGCCCCTCGACGTGCCAAAGGTCCATCTGGCTTGACCTGGCGTCCTACTGTATCGGATGGAGAGCCTTTGAATAAAAGATTTCGTCGCCTGGATTTCGCGTTTCCAGAATTGTACTCTTTTCCTTTCTTATACCGTTTTGTTGTGTGTCTATTGGCCTCCGTGGAACCAGTTGTTTGTCGAATCCCAAGGCTGGTCTAGACTCTGACCTCCCTGACTGTGTGTCTGTCTGTGGCCGTGAGCAGCTTACATCGGGCGGGGCTTTCCAAGCGACACCTTTGCGACGACGCCCTTCCGACTCTTTGATGGTTTGACTGACAAATCCATCGGCGTGTCACATCGAGTACCGCGCCCTATCCATCTACATCCTCCATACGAGAGGGCTTGCTCCATGCCGTCGACGCCCTTCGACAACTCTATCCAATCAAGCCACGCCCTGTCTTAAGGGCCAGTCTTAATCATGACCACCATACCAGAGGACATGGACCAATTCGTCAACTGGGAGGCGGCCGCTGCCGAAGTTGGAAACATCTTCGACATGTCCTCCCAGGACTTGCCGCCCACCGATCCTCCCAACCTGGATTTGGTTTTGGAGAATGCCAACGACGACGATTTTAGCTTTGTCGCTCTCGAGCACTTCTCTGGGGGCCACTTATCCGGGGAGCACGCCTCGGGTGTCCAGACCACCGGCAACCTGCTCGACCTGGTTGACAGCCAACTTGGCAGTGCCCAGGATGACTGGTGGTACACTCCCGATACACCCTGCGTCAACTGCGCCCTTGGGGGCTACCAGTGCAAGAAGATCAATGAAGCCAGCTCGAGCATCTACGAGCATTACTGCACCTCTTGCGTTGCGCTGAGGAGCGAGTGCAGCTTCGCTGAGCACTTGCCTGCCATCGCTCGCCTCGACCCGTTCGATGCGTTGCCTTCCCAGAACCCCTGGCCCACCATGGGAGACCACCCGCGTGCTGTCGATGAAGATGGCGGTTTTGCGGAGCTCTTGCTTTCTAGGAAGGCCTGGCCGGTCGTGAGAGACCAATCCTGCGCCATCCAAGAGTCCGCCGCTAAGACTGTAGGCTTGCCGGGGACGTCTACGCCGGACCTGCTGCGGAGCCTGACAGCTTCCGTGTCCGCGGATGAGGCGGCCACGGCAAGCAGGATGGCAACCCCCGCCAAAGTAGGAGCCCGGTTCTCGCGGGAGTCCGTCCGCATCTTGAAAAACTGGCTCTCGACCCATACCCGGCATCCGTACCCCAGCGACGAAGAGAAAGAGATGCTGCAGCGCCAGACGGGCCTCAACAAAACCCAGATCACCAACTGGCTTGCCAACGCCCGGCGCCGGGGCAAGACACAGCCCCCTCGCTCTACCTCACCACATCCGCGCAGTTACAACGGCGCCATCGACATTCCTCAGAGACGAGGAACGCCTGCCCCGGATGGTAGAGTGCGCAACATGAATCCCCTCGAGCGTTGGGTCGACTCCCCTCCGGAGAACGAACCTGCCGAAGTGACGGCCATTGCCCGCGCCGTTGCGTCCAGTTCTGGAGCATCTTCATCAGGTACAACGATAACGAGCCTTACTTCTGGCTATCCTTTGGCCGCGCTGACATATTCCAGGCCTCACGAGCCCCTACAGCTTCAACTTCACCGACGACGGGTCAGGAAGGTCCCTCTGCAACGCCTCCTCGGCCAGCAGTTTGGGCACCTCTCACTCCAGCGGCGGGTCCTTCGCCTCTGCGTATTCCCATGCGTCCCACGGCTCCTTCGGCTCCTTCGGTTCCTTCAACCGAGGCCGCAGGCGTCGCAGGAGGCGCGCCGGCGCCAAGCCGGTCGAGGAGAAGACCTCTCTCGCCCCTGTCTCCAAGACTTACCAGTGTACGTTCTGTACCGAAACGTTCAGGACCAAGCACGACTGGCAGCGGCACGAGAAGTCGCTGCATCTGTCTCTTGAGAGATGGATATGTAGCCCTGAAGGCCCGGCGGCTCTCAACCCCGAGACGAACCAGCTGTGCTGCGTCTTCTGTGGCGAGGCCAACCCCGACCAGGCTCATGCCGAGAGTCATAATCACTATCAGTGCAAGGAGAGAAGCTTGGAAGAGCGCACTTTCTACAGGAAAGACCATTTGAATCAGGTGAGAGAGCTGCCTAGCCAAGAGTCAGTCCCTAGACCGAAACGCTAACGACGTCAGCACCTGCGCCTCGTCCACGATACAAAGTTTGTCGAATGGTCCATGAAGTCTTGGAAAGTTGCCACGCCAGAGATTCGATCACGATGCGGTTTCTGTGGCTGTGTCTTGGACTCGTGGAAACAGAGGACTGAGCACCTCAGTGAGCATTTCAAGGGCGGTAATACGATGGCCGACTGGAAGGGAGACTGGGGTTTTGAAGCACCGGTGCTCGAAATGGTTGAGAACTCAATACCACCCTGTATGAACCGGCCCCTCAACTATCCCGTAGATAAGCTACCGAAGTCTAACTTGTGGTAATATAGATCTCATTGACAATGAGCGGAACTCGCCCTTCCCATACCAGGCCTCCAGTGCCCCTGCGGAGACGCCACGCTCGGCTTATGAGCTCATCAAAGTCGAGATGGCACATTTCATGCAGAACCATTACGAAAAGCATCACACCTTGCCTAGCGATGAGCAGATGCAACTCGAGAGCTGTCGTATCATTTTCGCCTCCGAAGTCCTGTCCATCCGGGAGATTTCGTATCCCTTTTCGTGGCTGCGTGACCTCCTCATGGGAGACGCTGACATCATGCGACGAGCAAAGATAGGAAAGATGCGTACGCAGGCCGAAAACAGGCTGTCCACTCTCAAGCTGAACGGCAAGGATACTCTGTTCGAGCGCTGTCCCCTCGAGGAACAGCTGCACGAGTTCGTCAGGGCGAAGAGGCTACTGGGACTAACGGCCATGGACGAAGAGCTGCAGACAGAGAGCTGTAACATCGTTGGCCGTATCGAGGAGGTATCGACGGCGCCCAGCGACTTCATTGCCAGCTGGCTTGTGCGGATCATCAACCGATCCACCAACTGGCTCGCCAACTTCAGACAGCGAGCCCATCTCCCCCGGACCGAAGACATCGTGGTCGAGAACGAGCGGTCGACAGACACGACCAAGATCGACTCGACCATCCACAACTATAGCAGACTTGAGCGCTACTTGGCCGACTACGTCGAGAGGCAGAGGAGCCTCGGCATCGAGCCTTGTAACGATAGCCTGCAGAGGGAGGCCAGGATCATCATCTACGAGTTCGACGACGGCTGGAATCAGACCGCCGCCGACAACTTGGACTGGCTCGCGGCTTTCCGGCAGCGTCATCCGCCCACCCTCGCGCAGGGCTCAAGCTCTACGACTGCATCTGCGTCTCAGGACCAGCTATCCCACGACGGGCTTCATTCGTCCATTACAGACACCTCTCCGTCCAACGTTTCATCTGCCAACTTTTCAGACGGCCTGACTTGCCCCCTCATGACGGGCGGGTCCAACCAGACTCCTGCGGCCCTCACCCAGACCGGACCGTTCTTCCTCAACGATACAAACTGCTACCGTCGCCTGATGAGGGAATTGGCGAGGTGGGTCGCAAAGTTACCGCTTGAATCGATCACGGACGAGATGCTCCAGAAGCAGGCGAGGATCATTCTTTACAACGAGTAAGTTTTGTTACGCCACGGCATCTCCCAACTCCCGCTGACCCCTCCTTGTAGCGAAGACCCGTGGAACCAGACCGCGGCCGACAACGCCGAGTGGCTACTCAGGTTCAAGCGCGACTGCGGCATCATCCGCGACCCCGGCCCGGGGCTGCCTCCCGGCGACGCCTGGTCGCTCGCGCAGGGCGGCACCGGCTTCGCGCCCCCCTACGCCTTCCCCAAGGGCGACATGGCCCCTTTCAGCGAGAGAACGACGGAAGTGCCGATCCGGAACACAAAGGTCTTTGAGATCCAGTCGGATATCACGAACCGCTACCTGGAGACATTCAAGACTAGGTACCCGAAGCCGGCCGCCATCTTCTGCTCCCGCGAGCTCGAGGACGGGCTCGTCAGGTTCGTCGAGACGGAGGTGGCGCTCTCTGGGCAGTTCCCCGACGACCAATCCCTCAGGGCACACGCCTCCTTCATCCTGAACACGCCCGAGACCGCGGCTGACGACCCCGCCCTGTTGAGCAAATTCAAGGGCTGGATGATGATGAGGGGTCAACAGTCCAGCCAGCCGCAGCCGCAGCAGCAGCCCGTTCCATTACAGCCGCAACCGAGAATGCCGCTCCCATCAACGTCAACGTCAACGTCGGCATCGACTTTGCCCACAGGGATGGATCTGACGCTCTCAGATGCGGAGATGAACAACATCCTGCGAGACATGAACTTCGATCTCGGCGCAGCGGACCTGGAGGGTCTCGACATGGCCATGGGGATGGATCTCAGCGCCGACGCCGGGCCATCTTCATTCTAGTCACACGTGAGGAATTTGACACCTACGGGTTCTGCATTGTTGGGGATAACGATGTTTCACGACGCTCCTTAACGTTTATAGGATTTAGGGGGGGGCATTGGATTGGATTGATTATACGTTTCCAAAAGCTCTTGTATGTGCTTTCAAGAAATCAGCAAACCGAGCTGCCAGATTTGCTAGACAAAAACAGATGGAAGGACGGGACGCAACAGAGGGAGTGTTTGTCGCCCTAGGCTTGTTTACTATACCCAAAATAAATATCTAATAAAAAACGGAAAGAAAGAAAAATCAACGAAAGAAAGAAAGGGGGGGGGGGGATGGAGGGGGAAACAAATGGCAATCCTCTCACGTCTAGATCGACTCATAACTAGCTGAATCAATAAATGCGAACCCATCGTTCACCGATTGCCTCGCCCTCTGATGACCCGCCTCTGCCGATCCCACGGTGTAATCCACGTCCGAGCTGAAGCCGCGGGGCCGCCCCCGTCCGGGCCGGGCGCTGCTCTCCGGTTCGTTTCTTGCCTACGCACTAACGACAAGAATGGTAAGTAAGATGCGGTGTTGAGGGCAGCGGCATTTCAACGACTGCACTGTAGAGAGATATTGTTAAGCAATGGGCCACGAGATCACCTTATGCTTATCCGCTATGCTGACGAAGTCGACACCACGCACGCTTATCTGACACTGTACAGCACACTCCCCTCCATCCCATAAGCTCCATTCAACGGCATGCTTGACTGTCCTAGTCTTCGCGCCTCTCTCTCTCTCCGAAACGACACATCTGCCACTTGACAAGCATGCTCCGGGGCTAGCTTGCGCAGCCCTATCATTCGGCAGCCTTGCAGCTTCACCAGCTTTTGCGCGGAAACGAAATCCGTACCAGGCGGTAACGGCCTTGCAGCAATGACAGAACCAGGCTCGGCCGCGACGGCCCACGCGGCCCCCAACAACCGCCCCAGAACGCGCCAGAGGATGCCCAAAGCGGCTCCCTCGTTGGACGTGCCGAGCATCTAACAAGATGCATCAGAGAGAAAGCGGGTGCTGAATGTTCTAGCCCAACGTAGATACCGTAAGATTCACCGCCTCGTCGCCCCCTCTGCCCTGCCCTGCTCCCCCCCCCTCTCATTCCATCTCGGCTGACCTGGGAGAGACAGGAGAACGCAAGAGGCAGAGTCGCCTCGGCAGGGAGAACAGCAGCCACGTTGATGTTCCAGAGCGTCGGGTGTCTGAGACAGACGCTGACAGCGACCTTCCGGGTGCTGCCCCTTCATTCGTACTTGAGACTGGGGGCCCAATCGAGCAGGTTGCAGACAAAGTCAGGCCGCTGGCCAGTGAAGTAGATGGCGCTACTGCGGGGTTCAATCTGGACGCGTCTGCGGTGCGGTCGACTGATCCGTCAGACAGTGATTCGATATCGGACCTGCTGTACGGCACGAACCCAACCGTCTTTGGCGCGGCCTAACATGTCGAAACCTCTAGGGCGGTGGCGGCGGCGTTGCCCAGCACACCATCGACCGTCGACCCTGCATTGCTGATGGAACGTTCGTCTCTGTCACCGCCAGACTTCCCCGACAGCTACCTCCTCCCCATGAGCGACCTGAAGGTCCTCAAGGGGCTCCTTCGGATAGCCACTAGACTGGGGTCCTACTCTGTCATGTGGGACCCCGCGGCGACCTCGCCGTTCAACCTGGGGACGGGAACGGCGGTGGACCTGCTGCCCGAGACGTGGCGGCCGACGGCGTCGCAGGTGCTCTTGCCGCACCACCCCATCATGGACTTCCTGCCATGGCCGGAGGTGCGCGATCGCGTCATCAACCTCTTCAGCCTTCCCGACGAGGCGAGGCCGCCCGCGGCACGGGGCCAGCTCGGACTCGTCAACTTTGCGTACGACTTGGAGGACTCTGGCGAAGGGGCGCGCATCTGGGGCGCCGGCCCGTACGACGCGTCGAGCTGGGAGGTCGGTCAGGTCCTCTTCGAGAGGTGGTGATTCGTCTTGGACAGGAAAGTCGTCGAGCAGAGCAACAAGTGGCGGCGACTCAGGGGCGCGGCGACACTGCAGATGCGGCCGGGGCAGTGTGGTTGACCGGTCCGAGACCGGTTGAGCGCCTTGCGGGGGGGGGGGGGGGGGGGGGTCCAGACGGGTCAGGACGTCAATGTGGGCGGGCAAAAATAAAGAGAAAAAAAGAAAAAAAATTCAATGTCGTCCAAGAGACGGGAGAGAGAGTTGTTCTGGGCTCTCCGGTTCTACATCGCAGCGGTCCAGTCGCCAGCCACGCGCTGATTGCCACACCCACACGATACGGCCTGGTGTGCCTGTTCGTGGTACAACGACACAGACCGACCACGGGTATTCAGCTGTAGGCAAATTGATATTTGGTCGTACTTGATTAAACCCTTTTTAACTAAAAGGAGTACCCACAATCACAGTCACAACCCCCAAAATCCGATATGCCTCTAGAAACCCCATTAGAGATGCAGATCTACGGCCAACTCTAATGTTTGAATTTGAACAAGGTCGGGTTCAGGATTCCAGTATGAGTTGGCATTGGGATGGATCAGAGTGAGTAATTCCGAGTATAGAATGGATTCATCAAGTAGGATAGAGCAGAAGTTGCGTGGTAAAGCCAACGAAAGTGGTTAGATACGACCACATAGCAAATGGCCTACGGCCAAATACGACGACACAAACATGCCGGTTCCGGAAGGAGAAGCTATATCCGGGTAGAGAGACTAGAGGCGCAAGCAGCCGGTTTAGTGCATGTCGTCGTTCACCGGAGCGAGAGACGGTTGATCCATCACATCTCACTGGCCTCGAACAAGAGCTTATGCGGGAACTTTTTAGTCAGTCAGGACATGTAAATCGCAACTGGGACCCCGCAACCCCGTGCACAGGGTATCTTGGAGGGAAAAGAGGAACGGACATTTCCACTCTTCCCAAATCTTGCTTTTGGGCACCTAGGAAAAGACGCCAAGCGGGCGGGTTACGTTTCAGTGTGGTTCGGAGGTGGCGCCGTTGCCAGCGTCGAGTTCGGCTGCGGACGTTCGGGCGTCACCGGCCGTGGTGGCACGGGCCCTGATGTAGCCGGCGTATCAAGAGTCTCCAATAGTCAACCTTATTCGTCAGGGCATGACACAAAATCCCATGTGCTCTTCTTCTCTTTCTAGGGCAGCATTAGCGCCGCAAACTCTAGTGGAAGACGGATGTTGTCATTTCAGCTGGTCCTTGACACTCGTCCGGCCAATATCATTAACCTCTGCGACAGTATGTTATGGTTTTGGGCAACAGAACGAGAGCTAAACCAAGCATGCTGCCGTGTTTTTAGGTTTCCCACGTTTCTTCGTGGCCGTTTCCCGCCCGGGCCTAGGGGTAAGGGGAGGGAGACTCGAGTTGGCCAAGACGGGGCGGGGGACTTGGTAGCGCCGCCCCATTTCCGGGAGAGAGATTGGCCAATGATGGAGGGATGCCGACCCCATCTGTGTGTAATTTATGGTTGCAACTAGTTCAAAACGGAAGAGATGCGGTATCTGGAGAGGATGGAGAAGATGGAGACGGCTGGAGCAAACGGAGAGAAGATGCCCGCCAGACCAAGAGACTGAGTGGTATTCGTACACGTACTGTATGTAGGGTAGGTACACTCGTAGGTGGTGGCTGGCCGCCGACGACGGACCGAGAGGAGGGAAGGCCCTGCTTGGAATATAGTTCCACCTGGTTGGTTTGTTGTTCGTTCGTGTGTGAGATGCTCGAGGGTGTGCGAGATGCTCGAGGGGGTGTGTGTGCCTGACGTAGTGCAGGTCCGTTCTGGCGGTGAAGGGATGAAGCAGATGGAAAGTTTGTATGTATCGCCTCCGCGCCCGTCCGGACATGAGGGCAGCAGCATAGTTACGAAGTAGTTAGACCGCTACAGTTTTGGCAATAGCTCTCTAGTAAAGGTGGTAGCTACTACGAGACAACGTGTCAATGGAATGGAAAACAACAGAGACGGTTCTTCTACCAGTTTTTTTTTCTTTCTTTTTTCTGCCACACCCCGCAGCGCAATCGTGTAGGTACTTAAGTGTAAACTAGGGGGGGGGGGGGTCCCGGCCGTTGGAGGGTGCGTTGGATCAACCGAAGTGGGGGTGCCCCTCTGCACCCATCCACATCCACCCACCATCCCTCCTCTCTCTTTCCCTCTGCCTCAAGGCAATGGAGGGGCACTCGCCAACCTATCATGTGCATGGGTGCTGCCCTCAGATGCAATGCTCCTTCTTCGGAGCTCTTCGAAGCGTGGGTTGGGGGTAGGTAAGTACAGTACTACTAGTTAGGGTACGTAGTGTACATAGGTAGACCCCAAGCTGTCACCTACCAATACGTACCCCCTCGTCCCTTCACCTCCCCTCCAGTGTCTCTCTCTCTCATCGGCCAATTTCTGCTTGCAAAATTTCCCAAGCCTCCTCTCTCCTCCTCCTGCTTCTCCTCCTCCTGCTTCTCCTCCTCTACCCTCCTTCACATTTCCTTTCTGTTTCCAAAGTGACTTTTGGGACTCTGGGAATCTGTTACAACGCAGATCCGAGGCCTTGCTAGGAACGCTTAGCCCCCAACAGACTGACTAGTGAGTTGTTCCCCTTGCTGGCTTTATGCCTATGTTGCATCTTCAGGACCCCTCCGTTCTTTCCTCCTCCAATACACGCGCCTTTAATACCCCTCCAATTCCACCTGTACCTCGCCGCCATTCCAACCCCGATACTCGTAGCTCCTATCTCACTCTCTGCCTCTCCCTCCCTTTGGCACATGGCACTCTCACGCCGCATCTAAATAGCTTCAATTCCCCGTGCACTTACTACTCTTACTCCACCTTGCCCCCATCCCTCTTGTCCATTGAGTCTCTGACAAACTTGCCCTCCAGCGCCCGACAACTCTACAGCCCCCTCTGGTGGCCATTATCCACGCTTCTCTTCCTCTTCTGAACTCTTCCGAGTTCCTTCACCGACACAACAGCAAACATGCATATCAAGGCCATGCTCGAGGAGACCCGGAGGACGGGCGAGCCCTCCTTCTCCTTCGAATACTTCCCGCCCAAGACGGCCCAGGGAGTCCAGAACCTCTACGACCGTATGGAGCGCATGTACCACTTCGGTCCCAAGTTCATCGACATCACATGGGGTGCTGGCGGTCGTATCGCCGAGCTGACCTGCGAGATGGTCCTCCAGGCCCAGTCCATCTACGGCCTCGAGACATGCATGCACTTGACTTGCACAGATATGGGCTTGGAAAAGGTCAATGACGCCCTCCGCAAGGCCTACAAGGCCGGCTGCACAAACATCCTGGCCCTGCGCGGCGACCCTCCGAGAGAACACGAGAAGTGGGAGGCCACCGAAGATGGCTTCCGCTACGCCAAGGACCTGGTCAAGCACATCCGCGCCACCTACCACGACCACTTCGACATCGGCGTCGCCGGTTACCCCGAGGGCTGCGACGACAACAAGGACGAGGAGCAGCTGCTGGACCACTTGAAGGAGAAGGTCGACATGGGTGCCAGCTTCATCGTCACACAAATGTTCTATGACGGCGACAACTTCGTCCGCTGGGTCGGCAAGGTGCGCGAGCGTGGCATCACCGTCCCCATCATCCCCGGTATCATGCCCATTGCCACCTACTCCAGCTTCCTCCGTCGTGCCAAGCACATGAACTGCAAGGTACCCGACGCCTGGATGGCTGCCCTCGAGCCCATCAAGAACGACGACGTTGCCGTCAGGGAGGTCGGAAAGGGCCTTGTTGCCGACATGTGCCGCAAGATTGTTGCCGCCGGCATTCACCACTTACATTTCTACACCATGAACCTGGCCCAGGCCACGAGAATGGTTCTCGAAGAGCTAAACTGGATGCCCACGAGCGACCGCCCCGTGAAGCACGCCCTGCCCTGGAAGCAGTCCCTTGCCCACGGCCGCAGAGAGGAGGATGTCCGCCCCATCTTCTGGAAGGGTCGCAACAAGTCCTATGTGCTCCGTACTCAGGACTGGGACGAGTTCCCCAACGGCCGCTGGGGTGACTCTCGGTCTCCCGCCTTCGGCGAGCTGGATGCCTACGGCATTGGCCTGACGGGCACCAACGAGCAGAACCGGAAGAAGTGGGGTGAGCCCAAGTCCATCAGCGACATCGCCACCATCTTCGTACGCTACCTCGAGACGGAGCTCGACTCGCTCCCCTGGAGTGAGGCGCCCCTGACCAGCGAAGCCGACCACATTCGGGAGGAGCTCATCGGCTTGAACAAGCGCGGCCTGCTCACCATCAACTCTCAGCCTGCCGTTGACGGCGTGAAATCGAACCATCCCGTGCACGGCTGGGGTCCCGCCAATGGTTACGTCTACCAAAAGGCCTACCTCGAGCTCCTAGTTCATCCTGACGTCTACGCCGAGATCGTCTCCCGCATCGAGAAGAACCCCGACATGACGTACTACGCCACCACCAAGAACGGCACCCTGAAGTATAACGCAACAAATGACAGCCCCAACGCCGTCACTTGGGGTGTTTTCCCAGGCAAGGAGATTGTGCAGCCCACCATCGTCGAAGGCATCAGCTTCATGGCCTGGAAGGATGAGGCCTTCCGCCTCGGTATCGACTGGGCACATTGCTTTGATGCCGGAACTCCCAGTAGAGTGCTGATTGAGCGTATCATGAACGAGTGGTACCTCATCAACATTGGTAAGCCCGAGAAATGATCCTGGCATAGCTGTGTCGTACTGACATCCCCTAGTCAACAACGATTTCCACCAAAAGACGGCCTTGTTCGACTTGCTCGAGGGGCTCGAAGTAAAAGAATACACCGACATTCCCCTCGAGCCCCAAACCAACGGAGCGGGCAAGGAGCAGGCGGCAGTGGCTAACGGCAACTCTGCCCCCATCACCGCCAACTAACGATTCTTTCTGCTGACTTGTGTTTAACACACCCCCTTTTACTATCTTCTCAGTATGCATCATGGCCGGCGTTTTCAACAGGACAAACGGATGGA